CAGTACCAGAGATCAAACTCTGGTCCTTGTGCTTGCGCAGCAGGTGGCGAAACCACTGAGCTAAATCCCCGGCCTTAAAACTTGTTTTTAAGCAGACTTATCCTGTAGAGATTTTTCATGTGCTGACACAAAGAAAGAATGATATGAAGAGGTTGTTCTATAACATTGTGATGACCAAATTTTACCTCTTTGTTACTTTATTAATTTAAAGCCACCCCAAACCATACACTTAATATCAAAATTGACACTGAAATTATAGAACATATTAATCTCAGAAAAAAAGAGTAAGAATGCTACTCTATTAACAGTCAGGAATAATAATCACTGGGAATAACAGGAAACACTTTCAGGTGATTTTTTAAATTACCAGTAAACAAATCTTAATACCATAGTGCTTTTTACTTAGATTACATAAACAAGACTGGCTTATCAACATCCTCCTTCCAGTGGAAAGAAAATAAACAACAATGAAAGAAAACTAAAAGCATTTGGAATACACTTTTCCCCTTCTAGTTTCTTCCTGTTTCTTCAAGAGAAAAACACTGACATTTCTCCCATAGCTAGAGATGAAACTTGTTTTATATTAAAAGTAGTAAGGAATGTAAGACTGAACACTAAAATTAGATACTAAACCTCCTAAAGCAAGTTAACTGCTTCACACTGAAAAGTATAGAGAAGCAAAGAATATACAAATGCATAATCAAAAAAAAAAAAGTACTTCCTCCATCAAAAGGAATTACCACATACAACTACACTAACAATCACAAAATATAATTCAAAGCCATATTGGGAACAATACATAAAAATGCACAAACGAAGGGAAAGTAAAAATATATCAAGATGTTATATGTATACGTACCAATTCCCCAAGATGAATGTAATTATTACGTGTTGCAAATAGATACCAACAATAAAAAATGTACAGTTTGTACCGCCTTCAAAGAAACAGTGAAGAATGTTTTCCACTGACTATTTTTTAAAGTCAGCAGTTATAAGCCTAAAGAGAAAACAAACATGAAATTGCAAGTTGAAAATTTTAAAGAGAATTAATATGTTCTCTCAATAAGTGACTTTTATCATAAGACAGCAGCTCTCAGATAAGGCAATGTTCTAAAAAATAAGCATAAAACTGATTAAATCCAGGCTAAATCTGTTATTGTGCCCAAAAAGAAACGTCACAGAAATGTGGGCAAAGCAAATTCACTTTGTCCTTGATTCTATCTTTTAACCAAATGTACCTGGAAAATCTGTACAAATTAAGTTCATTTTTCCCTTAGCACAATTTCATACTTGCCTCAATAAATCCATTTATCAATATACCTTTCACCTTTGGAAAAAATATCTAACATATTGCAATGTTCGTAAGAGTAATACAGCCACTCCTAAAAATGTCTTCTTCAATTTTAATGGTAGACAAGTTGGTTACTTGGATCTGGGTTTTTTTTTTTTTTTGGTACCAGGGATCGAACTCGGGTCCTTGCACTTGGGAGGCAAGCGGCGGAACCACTGAGCTAAATCCCCGGCCCCTTGGTGTATTTTACTTGGATAATCTCACTTTCTGTTAGGAAACAGAATAGCATTCTTTGAATGATATATTCTTTAGGCTTAACTTCTTGGTTTCTTCATTTTCTTTTTTATTGAGCAAAAAAGCTAACAGTGAAACTTTACATTACTTAACTACAATGAATATAATTAACTGGAGGTAGACAATTGTTACAAAAAGCAGGGGCACTGTAGTTTCCAGCCTGAACATAATATTTACTTATTTTTTGGATGGACATATTATTTTAATAGTGTATATAAGTCCATTTTTAAAATAAGGCCACACTGTTGAAAAGAATTATGATATTTGTTTTTAAGGCATTTTCTTAACTCTATAAAGAAGTAATTCCAAATACTATAACTATATAAAATCACAACTACTCTTTCACAAAGAAACTCAAGTTAATTAGTTTGTTTCAACTCGAGTTGATTGTTTCAAGTCAAGTTGATTAGTTTTGTATTTTTTCCAACTGCATGAGGTAGTAATTTTCACCTCCATTTGCTCAATCTGCACTTACTATTTAAATATAGTACACAGTTTAATATAGATTTATTCTAGTAAAATTCTTACTTCTATAGTTTTGTATCTATTGAAGGTGACCACTTGGATTTTTTCAGAATCACTTTGTCACAAAACAATATGGTTTGTATACAAAATGAAGCAATATTTCAACATGTTATTAAACATCAATAAAGAAACAATTTCCAGTAGAAGCACAACGAATGGAGAAATTACAGCTATTATTTTTTTAAACAGTTGTATAGAAGATCTATTGCAGGGAGAAAGGTAGCAACTGTAAAATTTTACACTTGAGCAATTCATCCTCTAGAGGTAGGCTGTGACTTCCTATAAAATAGGTGGTTCTTAAATCAATCTCTTGAAACAACTGAGGTGTCTCTTAAGATGATTCCAGAATAAAAGCAACTTGGAAATTATAAAAAGCCACCAGGCACATTGTGGTAGTTAAAAGAAAGGTTTCGCACAGATCTGTGTTCAAATTTCTGCCCAAGCCACTTACAGAAATTTGTAGCCTTATTCTCACTGGAAGTATGGAGTACATGTCTTTAATCTGTTGAGAAGGTTCTGTTCTACTTCTAGTCCCCTGATAGCTTTTACCATGAACAGCTGTAGAATTTAGTCCAATACTTTTTCTCCAACCAGGGACAGGATCATATGGCTTTTTCCTTTCCTCTGTTAAAATGATGACTTTTGGGGGTGGATCTTCCAATGCTGAATCAACACTGCCATCCCTATAACAAAACCACTTTCTACATACTGCCAGATCTGACTTCTAAGAGTTTGTTTTGTTAAACAAATTTCTATCTATGTTCACACTTTTTTTCTTCTATTATCTTTATCCAGTTTTAGGATTAGCACAATGTTGATTTCCTAAAATGAGGGGAGAAGTGTTCCTTCTTTTTTCTGCTATGTTTGATATATTTTATCAGTTAAAATGTATATGAGCCTGCTGTTGTCATACAGGTAGGTTTTCAAGCTAGGAATATACTTTCTTTAATAGGTGCTATTCAAATTTTATATTTCCTCCAGAGTTAGTTTCAGTAATTTGTTTTCCAAGATACTTCTTAGAAGTTGTCAAATTTATTTCAAAAAAGATTTTTCAAATATGCTTTCTATATCCTTTTAAATTCTGTAAAATCTGTGGTAATGTCTCCTAGATCTTGATATTGTAATTAAAAAAATGTATAATTGATATTGTGTAATAGGAAGAAAAGTTCTAAAGGAGCAGGGGAAGTGGGAGGGATAGGGGAAAGGAAAGAAGGGAAAGGAAAAAATATGAGAAAAGGAAAAAAATGGAAACAGTCTTTGTAAATAGGGAGGGGCGGAGGGGGTGAAGGGAGGGCAGGGGAAGGGGAAAAAAATTAAGAACCAAGATACTCATGTAATGGTACAAGATCCCAATGATGAATGTCACTGTATTTTATACCTAAAATGTACCAATAAACTTAATGGAAAAAAAAAAAGAAATTTGTAGCCTTGGGCAAGTTTTGTACTCCTGTTGGCTCCAATTTCTTTATCTGCAAAACTGGTCATTGTGTTCAATAAAAAATAGCAAATAGAGGTTGCCAGTTAGTAAGGGCTCAATAAGGTAGCTATTATCATCACTGTCAAGAAAGCTGACCAGGGGGCTCATAAATCACCTTGCAAAACTGAGATGGTCCTTTTACTTTAAAATCCACCCTTTCTTTGCTTAGTAGGCTAACTACTGGTGCCTTTCGGCTGTTCGCTTCTATTATAAATCACTCTACAGAACTAAGAAGGTGTAAACTGTTAAAAAGTGAACTTTACTTGCTGCAAGAACCCGAATTCAGGTATAATTGCGAGTGACGTGGAATTTGTCAATGGATAGTCAACCTAGCTTTCAACTAACATCACCGATCCCCAGTAGACTGGGCGGGCTTTGGAGGCCATGCCCGCAACTATAACTTCAGGCTGAAGAAAAGCCTAGCACTGAGGACAGTACTATACAGGATGAGTTCTTAATAGTTACCCCTTGCATTAATCAGTAAGTGTACGTTTCAGATGGAAACGGTAACGTCTCAGGAGACATCGATTTACTGAACAAAATCTTCATTTCCTATTCTGAACCGGGGCCTCTTCCTTTACTAAGAGGTCAAGATTTAAACTTTTATTTTCACTTAATTATTTCAAAAACGTTACAGGATGAGATTACCCCTAAATGAGTGAGAAAGAAGCTTCAAAAGCGATCGGGTAAACTGCCTGAAGTTACATAGTTTGCAAGCAAGTGGGATTCGAACTTCCATTCCGGGGCTGCGAAGTCCGAGGTGAGTGCGATACAGTAAAGTCTGTACCACACTTCGGTGCCTAAAGCAGTCCACTTGTCACCTGTCTGTCTCCCCAAACTTTAACGTAGACTGGACGTTTTTAGGTTTGAAGCTTTTTCCCCCCATTGGCAACCGTCCCTCTCTCGCCGCCCCCAACAGCGGGAAGGATGCGCTAAGCCAGAGACAGGCCGCAGGCTCAGGAAGCCGGCCTGGCTCCGATCGCCCGCGCTCGGGCGCCGCCCCGAAGTCGCCGACCCAGGCTGGGGTCCAGAGGCCGCAGCCGCGCCCAGCTCTCAACTTTCGCTGAGGCCCACGTTCGGACTAGCAAAGGTGAAAGGAGAGGGCTGTGTTCTCCCGACACCCTCTTCACAGCGGAAGCACCCTGGAGAAGGCCTGAGTGGCAGTAACAAAGCCCACAATAAAACCTCAAGCTCCTCTTAAGCCCGTTAAACGCACTTACTTTAGCGAAGTATTTCCAGGACAGTAGGCCGACACTGGCAACAGAAAGGGCTCCTCTGTCCTCCAGCCCGGGGAAGCTGGTGGTGACGACATCTAGGCGCGCCGCACACAGAAAAGGACCCCCGCGCCAGGCTCCGAGCCCAGCGCGCACATTGCGCATGCGCACTCGCGAGAGGAAGGGGCGGCCCGGTGGCACCTCATTTGCGCGTCACGGGCGGAGCTACCTCCGGGAGACCGTGGTTTGAACATGTCGCGCCTGCAGGGAGTTGCCGGGCAGGGTCCGCGGCGGGGTTTCAGGGCAGAGAGGGCAGACGACATTACTGCTGTACCCCAGGGGCTGTTAAAGGCGGCGAGGAAGAGCGGCCAGTTAAACTTGTCTGGTAGGAACCTCAGTGAAGGTAAGAGTCAGGGACCTGCGCTTGGCTCGGCAGCCTCCCGGTTCTGTCCTGTGGCCTGGCTTGAGCATCCCTGTCCCGGGCGCACGGCCGGCGTCCTTGTGCTGTCATCGAGGCAGGGTCTACTACGTTTCCACTGGCTGCCGCTCCCTTGGGTCCCTCCTCTGCCTCCAGCAATCTCTGTTGAAGGAACCGGTTCTGGGATTCCCTCAGGGTGAGAGAGGCAGGATCCTGTGAAACGAAACCACATATCCGTTCATGGGCAAATATTTTGTTCCTTTGACCCTCATATTTCTCCTTTTTTTTTTTTTTTTTCTGGAGAAGTCTTATTATGAGAAAACTCTTGAGAGGAAGAAGGGATCCCGAAAAGTGGCTTGCAGCTGAGGCTCTTTATCGAGGGAGTTTTTATACAGTAAAATCACACCACAGGTTGCCTTAGGTCAAACAGTAATTAACCTATAGGATTATGAGTACAGTCACTTAGATAATATTGACACAAAGAAAATATAAGGTGCATAGCAAGGATACAGAGTGTAGAGAAGAACAAAGGCATTCTGGAGGGGTAGAGTGTTTTGGACACCTATCTAAGTGTTTATTAGGTTGTTTCTCTGTGTTATATTGTTTAGGTTTATTGGACCAGATGGCGCTAGTTACAGTACAGCTTTGAATTGTTGTTTATCTTTGGGGAGGTTCGCAGTCCTACCTATAGTGCCTCCTCTTGCAGCCTAGTTTGTAGCACTCAGCCGTCCACCACAGCCTGGTTTACCTCAGCCCTGTTGTGACTCTGTCTTGGGCCTGGTCTCTGCCTATCAATTTCTACCTAGTTTAGCTATCTGCAATACTATGCCATTAAATGTTTCAGAAGATTTGAGATCTCTCCAGACATCAAAAATTAGATTTGCTGGGCCAGGGATTTAGCTCAGTGGCACTGCATCTGCCTCACAAGCACAAGGTCATGAGTTCGATCCTCAGTACCAAAAAAAATTAGACTTGCTATTAAAATTCACATAATATTGACGATCAGAATAAATGCTGCACAAAGTATATACATTTGCGGTCACTCTGACAAACCTAATGTAGGCCGGCAAGCACAGATCTGGATACCACGAATGAATGGTCAGATGCAGTTCAGATGTGGGCAGGGTGGGGAGGAGGGAGGAAAGGGGCTTGGAGTTTGGGGGTAGGATGGAGAAATAAAGCTTTGTTTTCCTGTAATGTTTTATTTGTATTCAGGTCTTTCACTTCATGTAATTAAAGCCTTCCATTTTCCTTCTAAGGATTGCTGACAAACAGCATGTTCCCTGCACACCTGTCGCTTACCTTGACAGCACATGTGTTTTACTTTCCTGACCATTTTGTAGGCCATACTTGACATCTCGCTAGTCTTGCTGTTTTGTCAGGAGGTTGCTATTATATTTTGCAATGTGTAGTTAACAGGACATAAAATATCAATAAAATAAAATATAAAATTCTTAATAGGTATTGTGCATTTTGTGTAAACATCAACATTTCCACATCATCTGTGTACTTGCTTACAAAACCTAAAAGATGACATCAGAAATAAAAACCTATGTGAACTACAATGTAAACACAAAAGTCTACCACAGAAATCATTTTGCTTCAACTGTCACAGCCAAGGCAGTCTTCAAACATGACAACTGCATGTTCCATTAACATGTCTTGCTTACACTGACAGCGCATGTGCATGGCTTTCCTATGTAGCTTTCTTGTCACCTCTCTTGTCAGGAGCTTCCTACTATATTGTACATGTGCACTTAGGAAAATAAGATATCAGTACTCACTGTGTAGCCCAGGCAAGCCTTGAGCTTACTGCCATCCTCCTGCCTCAGCCTCCTGAGTGCTGGGATTACAGGCGTGCACTACCAACACCCAGAATGTTGGTATAAAATATTATTGTGAACATTTCTTTTTTAGTAAAATCCAAAGAAATTTGGATTGTAAAAGAACTAAACATTTAATTGAAACTTCCATCCCTGTTTCTTGATTCCGATACATGGTTGTTCTAAATTTGAATGTCTTAACTTCTTAAGATGTGTAACTCAAGTTATTATGCCAATGTTTGTTTAATACATTAGTGCAAATTCAATTATGCTTTTCTGCCTTAAGGAAACACTTATCATATATTATGGACAATCATTATATCTTTAGGTTGTTGAAAACATGGAAAAAGATTAACTGTTACTGTTTGTGCTCCTATAGTTTATTGGCTTCACTTTTTTTTTTTTAAACTTTCATTGTGAACACCACTTTAAACTTTTTTTTTGTACCAGGGATCGAACTTGGGTCCTTGAGCTTGCAGGGCAGATGGTGGAACCACTGAGCTAAATCCCCGGCATCACATTAAACTTTTTAAAAAACTTCTCTCCACCCAGCAACTTCTAAATGTCTTCCACACTTTTTACAGTCCCCTGCCATCAACCCATTTATTCGGCCTCATTTCTATGATTTGCTCTTGTCATCAGAAAAGAATAGAATGCCCCCCAAATGCAAAGAAATCTTTTTTTCCAGTGTTTGTTAAGAGCTGTGCTCTCCATTGTGGAAGGAACTTGTGGGCAATTTAAATTTTTAATTAATCAAATAAAATAAAAAATGAAATTCTTCAGTTGCTTTAGCTACATTTCAGATGCTTACTAGCTACATGTGACTAATGGCTTGCATATGGATTAGTGTCAACATAGGACATTTCCATCGTTGCAGAAAATGTTTTACCTATTGAGCCCTGTTATAAAGAGTTAATATATTAGCTGTCTGTCCGATATTAGTAAGTATTAAGTATTATTGTTACTACTGCTACTATTACTACCAGCTCTGAGCCTTAGCATATGCCTCTGTAACAACTTTACATATAAAGGTTGTCTAAGCCTTCTCTTTTATTCTGTTTGCATGCTGGTAGAACCTACTCTTTATCTATCTTGTATATCCACCAAAAAGTGTTATGCAAGTATGTAGGTAGTATATAGTTGAATGAAGGTCCAAGTGAGAACTAATCAATAAAATATGTATTGGATAGTCTGTTTTTGAATCAAATCAGCTCACTCAAGAGGCAATGTATTGCTGTTTGACTTCCTGGAGTTTTTATTGTTTGTTTTAGAAACTGCTTTTCAGAAGGTAGACTGGGTAGCTATTATAAAAAGCCAGTCACTTATGATCTACTTCTTGTTTCCATGTGTGTGTGTGTGTGTGTGTGTGGTGCTGGTGGAAATAGTGCCTCAGTGTGTGTGGAGAATCAACGTGGATGTCCTGGAGGAGGCAAATCAGAATCTGTTGTTCAGCGCTGCCGAGCGTTGGTGGGAGCAGACGGATCTGACCAAACTTGTCATCTCCAACAATAAACTCCAGGTGCTCTCTGACGACCTGCGCCTCCTGCCCGCGCTGACTGTTCTGGATGTGAGTTGACTCTAATTATGGGTTGGAAGTGGAAGAAACTCCAAAGCTGAACTTTGGCTTTGATAAACAGGAAAGCTTTCATGTTGAGTTGGAAGATGCACGGGTAATAAATTACTATGTCAGGCACAGCATAATAATTAAGAGTGTTCTGCTGCGCAAGCGCAAGGACCCGAGTTCGATCCCCAGTACCAAAAAAAAAAAAAAGAAAAAAAAATTAAGAGTGCAGAACACCAGGTTCTGATACCGACTCTCCCCCCGAAAGCTGTGTCACCTGGGGAAGGCTGTCTCCATACTTCTGGGTGAGGAGCGATAGTACTACCGAGTTTGTGGATTGAGTTACTACTACAAGCAGATTCAGTATTTCACAAATCGTTGCTGGTTTTTTTCTTACTGTTATTTTTATCATCACTACTCTAGACATTGTAGCAAGTACAATGCTGAAGATGGTTTTTATTTTACTTTTTGTAACTTGCTAGCAATTTCATTGACTTACTAAGTAACTACCAAATTTAAAGTTTTGTGTTTTTATTAAGGAAGTCTGTTTTTAAGCCCTAGTTCCCATGCTGTGGTGAAATGAAGCAATTAGTTCAGAATCTTTAAACTTCTGGTGTTTTTACTTAGCAACATCAAAAATCCTCAAATTCACAAGTATATAAAAGTTGGATTTAAGTAGTGAAATTTCTAGAGGAATTTTTATTCCCCTTATTTGTAAGATGAATTGACTGGCTTGCTCTGTGGTTCTTTTATACTTTAAAAACTGTTTTGGTGGGAGCATGAGAGAAATTCAATTCTTTTTTCTTACAGAGTTTTTGCAGTCTCACATGTATCTCATAAATAGTACTGTCGGGGTTGTTAGTTTCTCATTCTCTTTTCTACTTGAAATTAAGACTTCCCTCTATGAGGTGAAGTGTATGTGGATATTTTCTTTTTGATAATATTTAAAATTGATAACTTATTTGGTCAGTTTCAAAATCCTTTTCCTCTTCTATATGCAGTCAAATTACCAGTAGCCAAATCCACTGCCATTGAATTAGAAGAGCAGGAGATTATTAGTGAATAATTTGAGTAATTATCAGTGAACAATGGCAAAGGTTATATATTGTTAATTGTAAGACTAACAATATTGACTTTGTCTTTTAATAATTTTAGATACATGATAATCAGCTAACATCCCTTCCTTCTGCTATAAGAGAGCTAGAAAATCTTCAAAAGCTCAATGTCAGGTAAAATTTAAGCTTCTTTCTTTTTTGTTTTTAAAGCTTATTTCTAATATTGCAGTTATAGTAGTATAAGTTTAGTAATGAAATGTTCTGTAGCATTAGAAGATACCAGGCTGAGGTGTTACTCAGTGGTAGAGCATGTGCTTAACACCTGTGAGACCCTGGATTCATCATCCCCCCCCCCCCCCCCGCCAGCTCCCGGCCCTCAGTGATCTTTGTATTATCTCCAGAAGTAGTTAAAAGACAGTAAGGATTTTAAGTTTTAGGTCTCAAATTATTGTTTGTATGTATGTATGTATTGAAGAGATGAGTTCTTGCTCTGTTGCCCAGGCTCACCCTGAATTCCTGGCCAAAGACATCCTCCTGCCTCAGCTTCCCAAGTAACACAGATTATTTGTCTTTATCTTTGCCTTAGAATTGCTTGTTTGTCTTCTGATTTATGAATTAAGCCAATTGATTTTTGAAAAATGTTTTCTGCTGATGTGATAAATTATAGTGGGTCTTATTTTAGAAAAGCTCTTTCTTGACATTTCAGACTTTACTTTGATACTCTAAAATTATCTAGGTATTAAACAATAAGGAAGAAATGTTAAAACAATTCTGTTATTAATGGTGAAGAACTTTACTTCCTTTCTTCTCCTCTCTCTCTCTGTCTCTCTCTTTCTCTCTCTCTTCTTCCTTCCTTCCTTCCTGGGCTCAGGATGGAACTCAGTGCCACACGCATGCTTCCCAGCCCTAATTTGTTTTTCGTTTTAGTGATAGTGGAGGAAACTTCATACTAAGCTACATCCTCAGTCCTTTATTTTATTTTTAAAATTTTGAGATGGTCTTGTTAAGTGGCTAAGTTGCCCAGGCTGGGCTGGAACTTGGAGTCCTCCTGCCTCAGCTTCCCAGAGTGCTGGGGTTGTAGGTGTGCCTCACCGTACCCAGTTAGTTTTCTTTGATAGTTGGAGTGTTTAACCTTCCCCAGGTACTCCTGGGGTTCCATGAGTGTCTCTGGTGCTGTTATTGATAGGTATGTGGGAGGCAGGCTGGCTGAGGCTCTCATTAACAGTTTGCCCTGGCGCTCACTCAGATTTTCAAGAAAGAATCTTTGCCTCATCTTCGCTCTGTAGACCCAGATTATGAGAAAGGAAATTAGGGGAGATTTCATTTAGAAGAGGAAACATGGTACATAAAGCATAGTTTAAATTTCTTGTTTGCCCCGAGAATACTTGCCGACAGCCCTGCAGTGGCTGGAGTCCTGAGCTGACTCGGCAGGTCTTGGTTTTATTATTAATTTTGCATTTCCCTCGAATAGCGCTACTCTTAGGAAAGAAAAGATATTGTTCAATTTATAGCATGTTTTTAGTTTGCAAAATACGGTATTTCTATTTACAAAATATAGTAATTCTTGGGGCTGGGGATTTAGCTCAGTGATTCCACCACCTGCCTTGCAAGCGCAAGGACCCGAGTTCGATCCCTGGTACCAAAAATAAAGAAAAAAAAAAAGTAATTCTTGATCACAGAAAAGCAAATGACTGCTGGCAGTGAACTACACTTTGTTTTCTGAACAAGAAATCAGTTAAAAACCTAATTTATAGATTAAATGGAGTTGTAGATCTAAGTAATAGAGTCAGGCCTGCTTTCTGGTGGTAGGTTAACTGGTTGGAGGGACTGCAGTCCCCAGGGTAATGGTCCTCATTTGGTAAAAAACTTAAAATTGATAAATTATCAAAAATGTCTACCTGTGAAAGGCTCTGATTGTTGGATCTTCATCAGAGCCTTTTTCCTTACTAGTCAAAGGTGCACATACGGGCTGCAGAAACTGTCCTGCAGAGGGCTGAGAAGAGGGAGGGAGGGAAGTGCGGAGCTGGTGAGGACTTAGGTTTTGATTCCAGTGTTGATCAGCGTGAATCGTGGGGCGGGCTAGATGAGAGACGGAGGAAATGTGCAGCTAGAACTCTGTCTGTGCAACTACATTCCTGCCTAGGGTATCCACACTGCAGCTAAGTAACTTAGAATAGTGACTGACTTTTAACCATGTTATTCTTTTGGCAAACATCTTTTGGCTTTTTCCCCAACTAGTTTTATTTTAATGTAATTTAGAGTTTTTATAAAGCCCTTCATATTTCTGTTTTTCCTATTAGGTGCAAAAGTAGCTGTTTGTGGATTGAAAATAGAGTGGAGTTTATAAGTGATTAAGTTGTAATAAACTTGGGAACTTGTTCATTCATCTTTTAATTATCAGGGAGTGCATTATCTTCAAGGATTTGGGACTTACCCTAAATCAATAAGCTGAGTATTTCTGTCCCTACAGAGGGGCTCAACTGAAAAGTCAACTGCAAACACAGTGTGGAAATGAATATTACATTCAGCATGAATGACATGCCAGCCCTCAAACAGAAATAGCTATTTTTGTCTTGAATGCTAGATTTAAAACCTAACTTCTGTATCATTTTAATGTGTATGTAAATACAGTTTTGTCAAAATTCTACAAGTCAGTTCGATCCCTGGTACCAAAAAAAAAAAAAAAAATTCTACAAGTCAGATACAGTGTAAGAAATTAAGAATTGGGCCGGGGATTTAACTCAGTGGTTCTGACGCCTGTCTTGCAAGTGCAAGGTCCCAAGTTCCATCCCCGGTACCAAAAAAAACAAAACAAAAAGAAAAAGAAATTAAGAGTCTAGTAAGTCCTTTCATGTTACATGAAAAATCAAAGTTTGTTATAAACAAGCAATCAGAAATTCTCAAATCATTTGTTTAATTAAAACTCTTTATTTGTTGTTTTTCTTTGAAACTGATTTAGATTACTGTTATTTTAATGAGCATTATACATTTGGGATGTGAATTTTGATAAGCACTTATATTAGTAATCATATTTCACTTATGTAATGAGTCCATGTAGTTGGTTAGCAAAAACATAAATGTTAGTTGTGTTGTTTACCAAATTAGTCTGCATTTATTTTATTAATCGATAGCCATAATAAATTGAAAATACTTCCTGAAGAAGTTACAAATCTCAAAAACCTGAAGGGCCTGTATCTCCAGCATAATGAGCTATCATGCTTACCAGAAGGATTTGAGCAACTCTCCAGTTTAGAAGATTTAGTAAGTAGTAGTTTTCTAATTTTTATATTATTTGGGGCTTGTGGGATATCTCATCATGCTGAGAAATTGGATGTGTGATTGACATTTTGGGACATGGGCTAAAGTAGATTACCAGAAATTGTTCATTTCAATGATACTGCTAAATTAGTAACATTTATATTTTTTGTATGTTATTAAATCAACTTAAAGTCATAATTCGGGAATACAGTTTGGGAGAGACACTGCAGATGACTTTGTTATTCAGAGTCTTTTATGAGCTTAGCAGAAGAGAGGGAAGTTGTCTTTAGCATATACCAATTCTGTAGTTTTCTAGTCTCATTTCTGTTTTTGTTTTTCATATTACCTGTGGTCTTCTGCCCTCTGAGTATTTGCATGGTCCCTTTAAGACCTGCCTTTGGTTCTCTGTTTTTCAAAATGGCCACATATAACTATCTTAAATGTGCATAGCCAAAAAGCAATACAAATATTCTAATCTTATTACCAAGAATAATGAAAACAATAGGCACTGTGCTTTATGCTTTACATATGGCAAAGTGAGTAGTTATACCCCTTACTACAATGAGAAACTAAAGCTTATAAAGAAAGAAGAAATTTGTCAAAAGTCATGCAACCAGTAAATAATGGAATAAGGATTTTGTTTTGTTTTGTGTTGGTTTTTTGAGACAGAGTCCTCCTTTATGTAGTTCAGGCTGGCCTCGAACTCACTATGATGCCTAGGCTGGCCTTGAACTCACAGCGATCCTCTTTCCTCAGAGTACTGGAATTAGAGGCATGTGCTACCATGCCCAGCTACAATGAGGATTTGAACATAAGCCACTTTGATTCCAAGCTACACCCCTTTTCCTCCACTTTAGGTACTAAAATAGTAAGATTATACTGTAGTATTCCCTCTTAAAGACTTTAGATGTAGTAAGTGAGAGGTTCTAATATATAACATGTACTCCACATACTTACTGCCTATTGTATTCTTGTTTTGCCTTTTACATGTTTTGGAAAATACATGTCCTTTTGGCCTTTAATTTTATTTTTTAATTAAAGGAAAAATTACTCCTTTTACTTCTACTTATTCTGTATGTACACCTTCCTTAGCAGTCCCGTCATTTGCTGTAGTGTTTAAAATAAAAATATATGCTGTACCATCCCAACTAATCCTTCAGTGTTTATCTTTCAATCTGGTAAGATTAGAATTAAGGTTTGCAGGGCTGGGGATTTAGCTCAGTGGTTCCGCAGCCTGCCTTGCAAGGACAAGGACCAGAGTTCGATCCCTGGTACCAAAAAAAAAAAAAAGAAAAGGTTTGCAAGGGTAGATAAAATGAATGGCAAAGGAGGAAGTTGTCAGATTTTTCTTAAATTTATTTTTTAATTTTGGAAAATTAAAAGAGTCTTTTAAAACCTACATTTAGAGTCAAAAGCTAAAGCCAAAAAAGAAACCTTACAATAAATAAAGCTTTCCATTTCTATTCATGGGCATAATGAAAGGATGTTTCATTTGAAAATTGTATTTTTAAAAAAATTCTTGTATTGGTACATTTTAGATATACATTACGTTTACATTTATCATTGGGTGCTTGTACCTGTACATGATGTATCTTGGTTATTTTTTTCCCCATTAACTGTGCGCCCTTCACCCCCTTGAAAACTGTATTCTTTCTTTCTTTTTTTTTTGGTACCGGGGATCAAAGTTGGGTTCTTGTGCTTGCAAGGCAAGCGGCGGAACCACTGAGCTAAATCCCCGGCCCTGAAAATTGTATTCTTTTTCTTTTCTTTTTTTTTTTTGGTACCAGGGATTGAACTGGGGGCCTTGGGCTTGCGAGGCAGGCGCTGAAACCACTGAGCTAAATACCTGGCCCCGAAAATTGTATTCTTAAGGAGAGTTAAATAAATCTCAAATATGTACAATGATACATTAAAACAGAGTAAAGAATAAACACCTGTAATTGCTTAAACTTTTCTTAGGGTTATTTAAACTGCTTAGCCTCGTAGTACTAGATAAATACTTGTTGAAGAAACGACTTGGGGGCCGGGGATTTAGCTCAGTGGTTTCGCCGCCTGCTGCGCAAGCGCAAGGACCCGAGTTTGATCTCCGGTTCCAAAAAAACAAGAAATGACTTGGCATAAATTTGGAACTAGTCTATATTTAGAATACTGATGTTTTATATCAAACTTCATGAACTGCAGTAATTAAATAATAGTGATTTCTGTTTAGAATTTAGAAGGGATTATGTTGAAATTATTTCAGTACTTTAAAATGTTTTGAGAGTTTCTGAATTAATTTAATTTCTTGGTTAGCTTTTCACTTTGGAATAATTTCAAGTTTAAACAACAGTTATAAATATAGTAGAATTTTCATGTATTTTTCACCTAGCTTCTTCTAATGTTAACAGTTATATATTATAGGACACTGGTAAAAACCCAGAAATTCACACTGGTACAATATGAACTGTAGATTTCCTTTAGGTTTCCTGTGTTTCACACTAGTGTCCTCTATTGTTCCAGGATACTGTCCTATGTAGTGTTCAAGACTTTTGATATTATAAAATATTGATTTGTTAGCAGTCTTTTTATAGTATTGGAATTGTAGATTATAATATATTGTTATGATTGTAACAATAGTGTGATTTTGTTTTTATTTTTGGTTTTGGTACTGGGGATCGAACTCAGGTCCTTGCGCTTGCGCAGCAGGCGGCGAAACCACTGAGCTAAATCCCCGGCCCCCAATACTGTGATTTTTTAAATGAACTGATCCAGCATTTTTATCTTTTTTTTTTCTTCTCAATTTACTGAGTAACAGAGCAGTTGTTAAGAATTGCTGGAGGTCGTTTTTTCTTGCTCATTGTTGCCATTGTTGATAGCTAGTGGAACACTTTCCCTCAGTGTTGCAAGAATTACCTGATTTAGAACCTTGTTTTAAGAAAAAAGAAACATGAAGACTTAAGAATCATGGGGTATAAATGTTAATTAAGCAAAGCTGAATGAATGGAAAGTAGAGCGAAGACTTCCGGCATGGGTCAAAGCAGACTTACGGAGGTCAGCAGAACCAAGAGACAGTATTTTTTTCCTCAAATTTGAAGTGGTCACTTTTTGAGCTTTTATTTTTCTTTCTTTCAGCAATTTTTTTTGTTGAAAAGATGTTTTTTATCTCATGTGATAGTTTACTAATAATGTGCCTATATTGGTACTCAGCAAGTATTAGACAGATCAGTAGATCTGTGCATTGCAAACATGATGCACCATATAATAGCTTTAATTAACACTACATAAGTTACATTAATAGTAATTGGATTAAAGTGAATTATTATGGAATCTCATTAATTTTATTTTAATATTTTTGAAGTAAGAACTCATTCTACTCTGTCTTCTACATTGATAAACAGACACATAGTAGGCCTGTAGATTTCAAAAGAATATCAGAATGAATTTTGTGAAATTTTCAGTGATGAAGGTCAGAAAGTCCATCACCTCTGAAATAGTCCTTTTTATGTTGCAGTCTCTCAAAATTCTGAATTCCCCTTTAAGGATATTTACTCATTTTTCTGTTTTCTCACTTATTCATACATTCTGTCTTTCTTTTCAAAGGATCTTTCGAACAATCTTCTCACCGCTGTTCCTGGTAGCTTTTCTTCTCTGTCCAGTCTGATGCGGCTCAATCTTTCCAGTAACCAACTGAAGAATTTGCCAGCGGAAATAAGTAGAATGAAAAGTAAATCGTCTATATTTTAAAAATTGCATGACTTTGAAGTTGATACACGTTGCCTTTACAAAAATATTAATACAATTACAGACAAAAATATATTTTTATGGAACAGTAAATAGTCAGATTTTCTCCTCCCAAGCAGGATGGTAGACCCTAGCTGTACAGGCCATTATTGTCTGACAGTTGCACAAGTAGTTACCACCGACTGTTAAAAAGAAAGAAGAAAATCTGACTCTGAATTGTAGTAAAATTCTGTATCTGAGATGTCGGTAAATTTTCAGCTATGCTATGTCTCATTCTTGGAGAGAATTCTTGTCTTGTAGGTGAGTGCACCTGTGATATCTGGGCATAGCAATTACAGCTCTAGCCACAGGTAATAGCATCCGAAGATGATCTTGCTTTGGCTGAAGGCCCAGGTTGTTAGTCCTTTTGTTTTAAAATGAAAGCTCAAAATTTTGTGTTTCTATTAAAGTTTACCATTGTCCTATTGTATTTATATGTTGGAGAACTGATATTTGGGGGTTTGTTCTTATTTTCTTCTTTTTTTCTTTCTGTTCTTTTTTTTCTTGTTCTTTTGAGCACTAATATTAAGGGATCTAAAAATCAAGGTACCATTTTAGTAAGTATTCTTCATCGTCTTAAGATTCCTAATTAAGAGTCCAAAATATTTTTTTGTTTGTTTAAAGTAGAAACATTCTTTTTTTTGGTACTGGGGATTGAACTTGGGACCTTGCACTTGCAAGGCAGGTGGTGGCACCACTGAGCTAAATCCCCGGCCCCTCATTATTTCTTGATTGATGGCTACCTGTGTGTTATCCATACACTATTTACCACTGAAGTCTTTTTTTTGCTAATTACACATATATCCTCTTCATTTTTGTAAACATTGGTTTTGTGAGTCAAGTCATAGGAGTGATTGTTTTACAATTGATTGCAGATAATTTTGAGATAAGTTGTAAAGATCCACTATTTTACTTAAAATTAATCATTATTTGTCATTTACAATAAAGAGACAAACATAAAATGGCTATCTTGCATAAAGATATAAGGAACATATTTAGTTTTCTTTATAAATTTGTTGAAAATATCTTTAGAGATAGGAACATTATTGAAAAAAATCAGTACAGCCAGGTGTGGTGGTGCATGCCGGTAACCCCAGCTACTCAGGTGTCCCATGCAGGAGAAGCACACGTTTGAGACCAGCCTGGGCAAAACACCAAGACCTTACCTCAAAATAAAAAATAAGAAAGGGCTGGGATTGTAGCTTAGTGACATAGCACCTGTCCAGCATATGTAAGGGCCCTGGCTTCAGTCCCCAGTCACACGCACGCACATGCACACACAAAACAAAGAAAACAAAGAAAGATCAGTAGGTAAATACTGAGTTTACAGGAACCTCCCTAATATTCTGTCTAATTCATGATCAGAGGCTTTCTGTCCCTCAGGCATCTGTATGGTATCTGTGTGGTATCTGTAGTCTACCATAAGTACACTTAGTTATTACTTTCCTATTAATGAACTGATTCCAAGAACAACATCTTACAATTGTGTGGCACTGTGTAAGTCCAGAATACTTTTCGGAATATCATTTTACACCGCATCAGTCACAACAGTGCTGTAAGGTAGATGCGAGAAGTATTTTTTCTTTTTAAACATTTTAAAGATTCCGAAGCACAGGCTTCTAAGTTATTTTGGACCTGTAGAGCGAGGGCTTGTATCTTCCTACTCCGTCCTCTGCTCTGCTGCACCACACAGCACTTGTTTCCTCTTAGTCAGTGCTCCTGGATACAAGTGTTGGTGAAACTAGGGTCTCCAGTGTATAGAATTTCCTTGGTTCAGGCACATCTGATAGTGGCTTCTTTTTTGCTGTTCTAGTTAAGTAAAACATAAATGACTACTCGTAGTTGAAAATAGTTCTGCATTTGTTTTGCAAAGCAGTTAGCTTCATATACTCAAAGAAAAGCAATCTACTGATGTAGTCTTGGATTATGTTAAAATTGCCAGGCTCAAAGTACAGGAAAATAAGTTGCCAAACACATATTATGTGTGCAGCTCAGCGGGAGGGTTGAGAGCGAATGTTTGGAGAATCCAGAGGCCTTGATAAATGAATCTACAGTGTCCATTAGGTAGAAAACTACTTATTAAAATCCTGGGAAAGAAGACCTTTGCCTTCCTCCAGTTTTGTTTTCTGTTCTGCCTTTAAAAAAGAGAGATACAGGAGTCAGAGATCCTGTAATTAAGGAAATTTTCTTGAACTGTAGTAGGTACTCTTATTAGGAGTGTTAGGTTAGGAAAAGCATGTAATTAAAACAAGGAAGACAAAGGAAGAAAAGGAGGCGGGGGAGTGAGAGGGAGGCAGTGCGGATGGGTGGAAGGCAGGGAATGAATACAGAAAAATCCATGACTTTGGCAAGAAGTCAGCTTGCCAAAAAATAAAGATATGTCCAACTCACTATGACCGTAGCTAGAGAGTCACTGGACATGTTCATTCAGCAAATGTGCACGCATGTTTATAATGTCATTACTGTAAGCTTTTTCTTTTTAAAGGTACATAATGATTGAGTGAAGTAATAGTATATAATTTATTTTAGAGTACTTTAACTGAATTCTAAATAACTTTTCTTTTTAACTGTAAGATGGCTTGTACCGTTATTTTAAAAAGTAGTTTTGAGGGCCAGGAATTTAGCTCAGTGGTTCCGCCACCTGCCTCGAAAGCACAAGGACCTGAGTTTGATCCCTGGTACCAAAAAAAAAAAAAGTAGTTATGATTTTTCCTGAATATATATTGCAGAGTTAAAGCATTTGGATTGCAATTCAAATCTCCTGGAAACTATACCTCCTGAATTCGCTGGCATGGAATCTCTAGAATTGCTTTATTTGCGAAGGAATAAATTACGTTTTCTACCAGAATTTCTTTCTTGTAGACTATTGAAGGTACTATTTAGTTGATTGTTCAATAACTGTTTTTTCCAAAAGTTATGCAAATTAATTTATAAAGAAATCTTGCTAATCTTGTTTTACATTGGGCTTATGTATTACTTTTAAGTACTATGTTTTCCCTGTGTTAAATTTTTCAGAATGTCAATATGATTACTGACAATAATGATACTGTTAGGAAACATTTTGTGAAAAGATATAATTAACTTAAAAAGTAGAGATTTACCATTTCATTTGATAATTTATGTGTACCTAATTCTCTTAAGTTACCACTTCTTACATTTACCTCATCATAATCAGATCTGTTTAAAATTACTTTCTTTTGGTTTTAACTCTATAGCAATAATATTGTCTTTTACATGTGGCATCCTTTAGTTTTCTTTGTATATATTTTTATGTATGACTGTTCAATGTTATCTTTTTCTAAATTGAATGGTGATAGTGATTTAAAACATACTGGAAAAACTTTCATTTACTATGATTAATTTTTCATCTAATTATAGATTTTGCTCATGAGAAATCAGTTATATAATAACCGTTAATGACAATATTAAATAACAAGCTGGCTATAGTATAATTTCTTTGAACTTATATGATTGTTTTAAAACTAATTTTTCATCAGTGTAGTTTTTAGAGTGATGGTCTCAATCCTATATGTAAGGACTAAATCATTTCTCTGCTTTGGTTTTGTACACTTGATGCTTCTGCCAGACTCAACCTTAGTTTTTTTTAAATTGTGAGAAAATTCTTGAAAGTGTTCTTTTTTGCCATTTTTCTTTAGCTGTAAGATTGCTTAAATGTAATTGAAAATATAAACATATTAATAATGAGAATGTTGCGTTTTTCTGATGTATGTTTCAATGGTTTCAAATTAAGAGTGCCCACAATTTTATTTTCATTATCTACTGTAAAATTGAAGGAAATACACATAACTGATCTTTGGTTTTGTAGGAATTGCATGTAGGTGAAAACCAGATTGAAATGTTAGGGGCAGAACATCTTAAGCATCTGAGTTCTATCCTTGTGCTAGACCTGAGGGATAACAAGTTAAAATCTGTTCCAGATGAAATTACACTACTACAGTCTTTGGAAAGGCTTGACCTAAGCAACAATGATATCAGTAGGTAAGTTTAAAGATCAAAGGAATAGAAATCATGCCTGTAATTTGAATATAATTTGTTAGTTAAAATATTTGTAAAAATCATGAATTCTCTTTTTAACATGGAATTCACTACATATTTTTTAATCAGGTATTATATGCAAAGAAATATTAATAGACTTTTGTGCTTGGTAGCCAGCTTAATATGCTAATAAAAGCAGATGTATTTACAAGTAACTGTAACTGAGTAGAACTGAACCATAAGAAGGCAGAATTTTTGTCTTTTTAATTGACTGCTTTATCTCTAACTCCTAGATGGTGCCTCTGCAGGTAGAAAGTGCTTGATGAATATTTGTTGAATTTGTGAAATAAATATAAAGCCATAAGAGAAATATAAAATGTTTTGAGGAAAGCAAAGGATTTACAATTTACTGAGAGGAATTGGAGCAGATTCATGGAAGTAGTGTTTGAGGATGATCTTGAGGACTGGGATTATTAGGGTGAAGCAGTCCGTTACCTAGAGCATTCACTGTGAGGGTCGGGCGTCCCTGCAGCCCACCCTGTGGTCTTTAAAGAATGAGTAAGATCTTCCTCAAGAAGGATCCACTCAGCAGGAGGAAATAGTCCAAAGGCAGCTTCTGGGTAAGGAGGGAGGTTGTGAGTATTTAGGGCTTGAAAACGAAATTGAGCCCATGTGGAAGAGGCCCTAGAATAATCATTTTCATTACTTACGAGCGACTGAAAGAAGACTGTGACAGAACCAATTTGCTTATAATATTCAGAACAACAAATTGATGGTGGTTGGTAGGACACATTGACTAGGAGTGGTTTTGTGGGCAGGAAATCTGAATCAGATTCTATTAGTTTAATCTCATACACTTGTCACTAAGGAGCATGTGCCGTGTGCAGTTCACCATGTTGACTGTTGTGTAGGTTTCTCTCTGATGTGCCGAGGACCTGAGCTGTGAGACCAATGGCAAGGGAATGAAAGAGGAGGGCGGATGTGAGAGGCTGAATTGGAGAAGCTGTATTTATGAGCTGATTGGAGATGGAGAGGAACAGAGTAGTAAGCAAAGAACCATAAAAAGTTAAAGAACCCCAGTACTTAAGAGAGGGAATTATTTTTTACATGCAAAAACTGAGAATCTTACCCAGGATTACGCACCAATTAGATGTCTAAGGTTTTGCGCTTAGATGCTAGAAAGATAGGGTGCAATTTACAGAAGAAGAAAAATTCGCCAAGTTAGATTTTCTTTTATGTGTGTATTTTAATAAATATTTTTAAAAATAAGATTTTTGGGGCCGGGGATTTAGCTCAGTGGTTTCGCCGCCTGCTGCCTAAGTGCAAGGACCCAAGTTCGATCCCTGGTACCAAAAAAAAAAAGATTTTTTTTCCTCAGTGCGCATATGGCATATGGTACAGCTTGACCATGATTTGTTTATATTATTTTTGTTTGTTTTGTGATGGGTTCTCGCTGTGCAGTTTAGGGTGGCCTGGAACTTACTGTGTAGCTCACACTGGCCTTGAACTCTTGGCAATCCTCTTGCCTCAGCCTCCGGAGTGCTGGAATTAGTACAGGTGTGCACCACCAGGCCTGTTTGACCACAGGGGAGCAGATTTCTGTGGATAGTGATTAGCTTTTCATTCATATAGGACAGAATCAACATATGTCCCTTGTAAGGATTGACATATAAATTTCTCTCCATAGCTGTTTCATCAGATCTACTCCATGAAACAATGTAAAGCAGGTATTGAAGAAAAAAAATCAGTAATTGTTATAGATAACACACACACACACACACACACCCCTTTTCTCCAGAGCTTTGGAGAAAAAGGCACTAGGATATAATGCTATTTAGTAAATATTATAGTTGTTTTCCCTTTCTATAAATAATTCTGAGATATTAATGATAATTTATTTTGTATTGCTCCAGATTTTTTTCTGAATAAAGTATTGGTTCCTCACACTGCTAATAGAATAGTTTCTATTAAAAAAAATAGATCATTCTGCTTCAAAGGTTTGATGGTTTTCCAAGGCCATAGCAATGTTTCTCAAATATGGCTATGTATTATAATCATTTAAGAAGTGGTAGGGGAAAAATATAGATTTTGAGGCACTGATACTTTATAATCACTCACAATGAGATTCTAGAAAACCCCCCCCCCCCATCCCTTTGTCCTAGGAAGCCCTTTACCTGCCTTACTACCCAAGAACAGCCCATTCTTTTTAAGTGCAAACCCACGTTTTGCTTTTCCTTTCTTAACTTTTCCATCTCCTAGTTTCTAGCTCTACTTTCACACCATCATAACTTGTTTAGCATTTGTCTTGTCATATATGTTTTTATATGAGATTCATTGTTTATGCATTCTAAAATTCACCAGTTTAGGCATACAATTTCATGACTTGACAAATGTGTCAGTTGTGATTGAAATATACAGTGAATGTTTAAGTTATAAAATTGTATTACATTAAAAGACACATTGCAGGGCCGGGGATTTAGCTCAGAGGTTCTGGCGCCTGCCGTGCAAGCGCAAGGTCCCGAGTCCAGTCCCTGGTACTAAAAAACAAAAAAAGACACATTGCACTTTCTCTAATTCCCCTCAAAATACTCCCCCTTGCTTTGAATGCACATACCCCAGTTTTCTTTCTGAAAGTAATTTTGAAAGACCTTCTGTGAATGTCTTTCAGGGGCATGATGACAAAGTATAGTAAATGTTGCTGAAGAGTAACATCCAACAGAAAGGCAGGGTTGTAAGTATCAAATAATGTAAATAACAGTCTGTCCTCATCCCCATAGTCCAATTGACTATGAAAGATAAATGCTTTGAATCAGGTGAGGACATTGAGGCAGCCATGCAGCACAGCTGAACACATGAAACTCATGGGAGAGGACTTCGCTTCAGGGAGTGGTAAGGACACTGGGAGCATTTTGAGAGCGTTCATTGCACTGTGTTTTTTACTATAATAAGTTTTTAAAAATTTAGACATTGACTGTATTTTTTGATAACATCTCCTATACATCTGTGTAATCGTTGCTGCTGTCATGTAGAACATTTCTGTCTTCCCCAAAATTCGCTTATTCCTTCTGTAGTCAGTTCTCTTTATGTACTGCTAACATCTGCTACCCACTGATGTGCTCCATCCTGTTCTGCCTTTAGAATGTCCCATAAATGACATCACATGCTGGGTAGTTTTTGCATATGGCTTCTTTCATGCAGCATGAGATTTTTGTGATTCATTTATATGGTTATTTGTATCAGTAGTTCACTTGTTTTCATTGCTGAATATTATTCCATTGTGAGGTACACAACAACTTATTCATCTCTTCACTACTTAGCTGATGGACGTTTGAGTCATCTATGATTTTTTTGCTGTTGGGAACATTTCTGTGCAAGTGTCAGTGTGGACATTGTCTTTTATTTCTTTAGGTTAAATATATAGGTGTGGGATTGCTTGGTTGTAGGGTAGGTGTGTGTTTAATACAAGGTTACGCTATCCAAAGTGGCTGCACTGTATTATATTCTCATCAGCAATGTAAGATATTTATTACTTACTACATTTTGGTTAATTGTGTATATGTCATTTTCATTTGTTCAGTTAAAAAGCTTAAAAAACAATCCTGCTATCTGTACGCTATCACCTACTATTTCATAGAAGCTTAGTAAGCTTGGCATTGCATCTCCTTATCGAATGAAAACATCTGGATGGTAGAAAAATATTTTTTCTTTTTGTCATGTTTTTCTTTTTTCTTTTTTTTTTTTTGGTACCGGGGATTGAACTTGGGTCCTTGCGCTTGCGCTGCAGGCGGCGAAACCACTGAGCTAAATCCCCGTCCCCTTTGTCATGTTTTTCATTTAAAAAGAATTATATTTGCTTGCTTGAAGTGCAAAATCAAAATTATCAGTGAAAATGGTTGTCTTGAGATACTGATGTATTAATACTTACATTTTTAACATTTACTTTTGAGCACTGGATAGAATTTAGCAAATGTTTATTGATCACTTTCTATTTTTGCAATTTCCACGTGACAACTTCAGAACTATGTGTGGCTTTTCTTTTGTGTGTTCAGCATTTATCTTTAGGGAAAATAGTTTAGGCCTGTTACTCGGGGCTCCTTTGAAACTATTATGTGATATATTGTGAGGCATATGTTGTTATTTTTAGTCAGTTATGTGGTTAGGTTATCCTTATACTTAATGTTTTCATTGAAATCAATTTAATCTTTTACAGTCTGCCCTGTTCATTGGGAAACCTTCCTTTGAAATTCCTGGCACTAGAAGGAAATCCTTTGAGAACCATCCGAAGAGAAATTATAAATGTAAGGATGTTGAGAATTCCGCTCTTTCTTCTTAAATTGAAATTCAAATGTGGACGCTGATCTGTGGAACTGTGATGTGTGTCCTTGGTGACTGTGTGTCTTGGTCTCTGCCCTTTCAGAAAGGAACTCAAGAAGTCCTAAAATACCTGCGAAGCAAAATCAAAGGTACTTTTTCTGTTTTCTGCTGTATTTTGAAAAATAGGTGAAGGACGATAAAGTGTTAGCTGCCTAAATTTCAATGTAGTGTGGATGTGAATATTTAGAAGAAATAATCCCTGGCATTTATGACTCTAAATCTGTATCTATACAAGCCATATGAATCCTGAAGTTATTTTAAAAAATCCTTAAACTCATAATGATAATGTTCTGTCTTCAATCTCTTAGATTTGTGTTAAAATCTACCAGTTATAAAATAGCATAACAAAGCTTCAATAAGTACCTAGTCCTTCAACTTTGAAAAAGAAGCAGAACTTTACTTTCAGGATATAATATATGGATTCACTTGGCCTGTAAGTATGTCCATATTAAGTATCTATTGTCCATGCATGGCTTCCCTAAGTTCTGACAAAAATTAAGAAAAGAGACATTTTTAAGATAGGATTACTTAGCATGAACTTATACCCAAAGTGAAAATAACATAAATGTATTTATTTTTAATCATTACTTACTAAATTTTAATATATCACTAAAAGTGTGATAAATCCTAGTTTTCATTTCATATCTGTCACAGTAAACTAGAGATAGACTACAGCATGAAAAAAATAATTAGTTATACCAGTATATCCTGTATGGGAAACTGCTCCAAAACTTAGTGGCTGATGCAGTACCTGCCAGTTGAGGTTATAACTCTGGGTTTCGCACAGGCTGAATTGCCAGTCAGCACAAGTTAAAGGAGTAGCATAACTGCATTCTTCTACAATTTTTGTTTTGTACCTTTGCATTCCAAAAATTATTAAAATAATTTTCTGAGACTGATGTCCTACCAATGAGAGTTTCTTTCTTTTGCAGATAGGCTTTCCCCTCCAGACAACAGTCGATTACTCTGACACAAATCAGATGTCACATCAGAATACGAAACTTTTATTGACCCAAAAAGCCAGGGTGAACTTCATGCAAATTACACTTATGTATAAGCATTTCTGTTAAGCAACCATTACCCCAAGATGAGTGAGGAAATCCATGGATAGAATGTTATTTTCTCCAGAAATCTGAGGCAAATCCTTGAGCGAGTTGGCGGGCGGAGAAAGCAAACAGATCACTGAGTTCTGTGCTGGAAGCAGAGGGCTGGGGAGCCAAGCAGTGTGTTGGTCTTCAGCCCTTCAGAAAACCGCTCAGGACGGCAGGTTCTTCACCGTGGAGCACTGGCCGAGGTCCCTCTGCTCAAGCGTCTGAGGGGGTCTGTGACTAGCCCTCTTCCCTCCAGGCCTCTCCACCAGCGACTGCGGGCTTCTCATTCCTGGAGCAGCTCAGTCCTAAACAAGAAACCCCATCCCCAGTGCCTCCAGGGACTTCCTCTCTTAGCTAGTCTGCTGAGGGGAGAGTTACTTTCGAATACCCACCCCAAACTGCCTTTGCACTGTACCGTGACTAGGGCTTTCCCCAGGGCTAGGACTGCCGGGTGTGGTGTTGGTCACTAGGGTGCTGTCCTCCAGGCTTCCCTTGTACCGCTAGGGACAGGTCCCCCTCTCCCTGGGGGCCAGGATTATGTTCCAGACTGCTTGGTTCTTTCCTGTGCTTTGTCTTCTGTTTCTTCATGATTCTTATCTTTCCTGTCAGCTCTTGATTCCTGAAGCTCTTCTCTTTGTCCTTGCTCAGTAGTAGTTTTCCAGTTGTCTTGGTGCCAGGTCCCAGAGAAGCTATGATTTGCTCCTGGCTTCTTCTCTGCCATCTTTGTCCTGTCCATTTAATTCTTTTTATATGTTACATGTAAAAAGAGATTGTTTTACTGCTATTTTATTGAGGATTTTTATGTCTGTATGCATAAGGGTTATTAACCTGTTATTTTATTTTCTGCATATATTTTTGTCTGATTTAGGTATCATAAAATATTTATCTCATAAAATATTGAGAGTTGGGAAATATTCCCTCCTCTTCTGTTTTTTAGAAGAATCTTTGAAGTATTTTACTAGTTTTCTTTTCTTTTATCCAACCCTATTGTTGGGCCTCTCTTGACTGCCACTCCTAATAACTAAACTGCTCAGCTGCTGACGCCAGAGTGCAGCCGCACAAACAGCAGGGCCTGCCCTATTCCTGCTTCTCTCCTGTGAGCTGCTTGTGCATGTGGGCACCTGAATCTCTTCTTTCTTGCTCTTTTCCACAACCTCCACTGCTTTTGAGAGCTCCCCCTTTGTTGAAAAAGAAGTCATTTCTTGTGGGATGAGATTAGGAGCAGTTCCATAGCCTCTTTCCCCCAGCCGTAATCTCTGGGGCCGTGGAGTGGACATGGGGCAGTGGCTAGGAGCTGAGCACTCCCTGGAGGCAGTGGGCAGTGGGCAGTGGCCTGAGCTCTTGAACCACAGCAGGAAGTGAGGGGGAAAGGGAATTGGGTGGAAGAAAGGAGCCCTCACCTCCATACCCTGGCCCCGTGGATTTAGACTCAGCAGAAGCCAGCTGGGGGCAGGGTGAGAACCGCTTCCTTCCGGGAGGAAAGCCATGGGCTGGGAGCAGCAGGGTAAGGAAATCCTGTGTTCTTGGCCGTAGCCATCTGAAGCAGGAATCTCTGCCTCTCTGAGCTCGGAGAGGGGAGGATGGAGTGGGCTTAGTTTGAATGCCAGAGTCATCCCGTTGAATTTGCGTGGATTTCCTTTTACAAATGTGTCTTCATTTGCGGTTTGCTCTTACATCTTGTCCAGAGGCATTAAATGGTGTGTTGTTGCTCCTGCCTCTGGTGTCCTTTTACAGATTTCACCAGTTTTTCTGGGAAGCGAGCTAGCAGAGCCTCTCATGTTGTCCTGTCATAGGATGGTCTCTGGGAAATATTCCTCCCCAGTCGGTCTATGCTTTCGATACATAATCGCTGCAGTCATCCTGGGCACTCAGTACACATAGCATCATGTGGCAAGCATTTTACTTCCTCTCCCCGCCCGTCCTCCCTGCTCCCTCTGAGAAATAATACTCTACCTAGAGAACAAAAATTGGGGGAAGCCAGCGTCTACCAAAGGACACAATAATTTAAACCCCACTGACCAAATGTCAGCAAACTGTCTTACTGAGAATTTCTCTCTGTGTGTCTGTACGCCTGATTTTTGTAACCCTTTCATCTTTCAGCCCGTGATGTTATCTCTTATTCTTTTTCGCTTTCTCCTTTGTTCTGCTATATATATTTGGAGTGGGGAAAGTTTATTTCAAATAGGACAGCAAACCAAAGGAAAACCAATCAAAAGCCAAATGTACAAAAAGACTAGCTTTCTCTCTGTAAGAAGTTGAGATTAAAAAAAATTAGTTCACCAGCTTTAAAAAATAACAGAAGAGAAATGTACCAGTGCTCAAAGCCTGAGAGAATGTGACTTTTTGTTTATAATCTTTCAGGTTGTTGATCTCCTCTGCCTGATTGTTCATTTTACTGACATTTTACCACTCTTTCTTCTCACACTAGTTTGTACAGGTATGCACACTTAAAATATAGCCTGGGTTCTTTGGACTTCAAGATAATTAAGTTGAATTTTTCAAAGCATGCATTGGCTAAGGTTTTATTTATTTATTCATTCATTCATTCATTCATTTATTTTGGTACCGGGGATCGAACTTGGGACCTTGCGTTTGCAAGGCAGGTGGCAGAACCACTGAGCTAAATCCCCAGCCCCTGGCTAAGATTGTATAATGGCCATAATCATATGATGAACGATTATGTTTATGCATAATCTAATTTCAGACAGACCTCGGCTTTGTACATACATACAAGTAGAGGACTGAGACTCTTCCTCATCAAAGCAGAACCCTACTTCTAAGAAATAAACTTGCAGTGAAGAAGCTGCTCAGTGAAGGATCAGCGTGTGCTGTGGCTGGGATGTGAACTGTCCCCCACAGGCCCTGTGGCAAGGCTTGTTCCCCGCCTGGCCTGCTCTGAGGAGGCTGTGGGACCTTGTAGACGTGTCACCTCTCTGGGGGAGTCAGGTCCCTGGGGCTGGGCCCTAGGGGGAGACACTGTGACTCTAGAACCCTCTCTTTCCTTCCTTCCTGGCCTCCATGAGGTGAGCAGACCACTTCGGCCACGTGCATGTGCAGGGAATGTCCTGTGCTACGATGAGTCCAAAGCAGCAGGGCCAAGTGGCCATGGGCTGAAACTTCTGAAACCATGAGTCAGTGCATGCCCTGCCTCCTTGCGAGTCATCTCAGTGCTTAGTCACAGTGATGAAAAGCTAACCCAGGCTATGTGCATCTGCAGAGCGATGTAAGAATCACTTGTGGAACTTTTAAAAATGAAGTGCCTAGGCCAGACTTTTAACGTAGTAGAATCAGAATTTGGGCATAATAGAGTCCACGTCTTTTAAACATTGAGTAGAATTGGAATTGTCTTTTAAGTTTTCTAGAGCTCTTTGAAGAACAAGTTGAGCCACTTCATTGCTACTTTTTAAATTTTTTTTTTTTTTTTTTGAGACAGGCTCTCACTATATAGTTCAGGCTGGTCTTGAACTCACTGTGTCACCCAGGCTGCCCTGAACTCATGGCAATCCTCCTGCCTCAGCCTCCAGAGTTCTGGAATTACAGGTGTGCGGCACCACGCCCAGCTTCTCCCCTGCTTCTTAAATACTCATGTCTCAGTTTCAGAGGTAGCCATGGAATTGGTTAAGACTGAAGATAGTGCCAGTCATTTGATTCAAGAGATTTTGATAGAGTGAGGTAAAAACTTGAAAGTGAAATGAGGGGACCCTACTTGAGGATCTGAGAGTTTTAAAAGTCACTACGAGGCCCTGGTCTGTGCTGCTTCAAATACAGAAACGCTTTCCACAAATACTTCAAACTCTGATATCTAAAAGACATTTTGTTCTTTTTAAAAGCTATTAAGTTTTGGTGGTTACTGATTTATAATCTCTCCAGTGTCTAGCAGAGGCCCAGTAGTTTATGTGAGGTTTATATAAACTTTCTGTAATGACTGTTATTTATTCTCCATTAGGAAAAGTTAATTTTCAAGTCCTTGCTGCCTGACAAATAATAGCTCTGACATTATAATTATTATTTTCAAATTTGATCTTTTGCTAAATCTAGAGTATTTTTGTCCACAGATGATAGCCTTTGTTGTTATTTTTAGATGTGTTGTTACTTGAACCTGCACATGTCTATCTGTAATACGAATATAATACCTTCTTGGATGGTTTATCTTTGAGGATCAGAATTCATGAGGTGGCAGTTGTGACATTGCCCTACAATGTCCTGGACTCATCTGGATAGTACTGCACATTCATATTGGTTGTCACAGACTTTCAGTGGCTCTGACTCCTGTGTACTTACTTATTTTTCTCCAGGCAAAATCAGTTGCCTAGGAAAATAGCAGTGCTAGGATTACAGCCATACGCCCCCATGCCCGGCTGATCAGTTGACTGGACAGTGAGGATATTATTATGGATTAAATGAGTTAACCCAGCGTGATGACAAGGATTCTTAAAAATAGCCCTGAGATGCAGGAGAGCAGACTGGATGATTAAATGCAGGAAGAACTCCGGTGCTGGTTTTGTCAGTGGGGGAAGAAAGCAGTGGACCCAGGAATGTGTGTGGCTTCTAGAAGTTAGAGAGGGAAGGAAATGTTCTTCCCTACAAAAGCAAGTGCAGACCCACAAAAACTTCAATTTTAACCCAGGGAGACCTGTTTTAGAGCTCTGACCTGCTACACGGTGAGCTCCTAAGACAACAGGGTCCGAGAAGCTGCTTTTGCTAAAGGCACTCACCTCCCACTGGGCCTGAGTAACTGAAACAGATGACAGGTGAGGAGCTCAGTCCCCTGTCTTCCCCAAGTGGCTGCACTGAGTAGACCCTTTCCTACTTCACCATCACTCTTCCTTTTGGGGTTCTTGGGTTAAGTGGCCAGATCCGGTCAGCAGGGACCACTCAGTGTTGGGTCTCTACCCTGAGAGAAGTTCCTATGTCTTACATTTCTGTGTTCTTTTTAAACTACTACATTGGTCTGGCACTGTAGCTCTGTGGTAGAGGACTCCTTCCTCTAGAGTATGCGAGGCCCTGGGTTCCATCCCCAGCATTGTAAAATAAGTTAAAACCTGCTAGGTTTATAGTAACTTATTAATGCAGCTGTATAAAACTGCCCATAAATTGGGCATAAATTATGTACCTTGGTATCATGTTTTCAATTTTGTTGCGACTGTGTACTGATGAGCAGTGTTTGGGCAAATACCACCTACACTATGGGACCAAGGATATGCTGTTCCAAGACAGGTTCCTCACACCAGTGCCTTGGTTGCCAGAGAACAGAAGCTCGTGACAGCTTGCAGGGTCCATGAATAAATCTGTCTTCATCAGAACCAGACCCAGGGTTGCTGATTGATGGTCCTCATCTGGTGCTTCACTAGAGAACTTGCTTAGGATGGTGCTTCTCCAGACTCCTGTGTTTGCTGGAGCCTGGTGAACAGTCTGTGGGCCTCACTGCCACTGTGCTGCATTCGGTACCTTTGGGTGGAGCCTGGAAACCCGAGTTTGCGGTGCAGGTTCCCTGGTGCAGAAGTTCACCCTGGGGATGACACTCTGAGCCACTGCATTCCTCAGCCCTCCCCAGTGTCTCCTCGGGCTGCGCCAGCTCACAGGGCTCCGAGAACCCAGCCTGCTTTTCCCTTCTGCTGTAGCCACCCTTTGTGTTCATAGGGCTGTAGTCTGCGGGCTTGGCTAATGCAGTTTCCCTACAGCTCATTCCCACCCACCCCCGGCCCCCAGCCTCTGGCCTCAGAAAAGAAGCATTCATATAGTACCTTTCATTTTAATAAACAGTAATAAATCAAACACTAACACATCCTAAAAATGAAATGGGGGTGTTCAAAAGGTAGCGAGTTGTTTTCACTTCTGTTCCTGACAAGAAGCTATAGTTCCTGCGTGCCTTCTGATATGGCTGCTTAACTTGGCCTTGGAGATTGTGTCAGTCTCTCCCCTCCATAAATAACAGCTCCTGCAGAAATAGCCTGCACCCGTTCTGTTTTGTGATTTGTGATTTGTGATTTGTTTATCTTCTCCACTTCTTGCCATGGTAGCTCCTACCATGCTGGGTAATGTGATAGAATGCAGAACACATAAGGGAACAGACTGCAACCCTTTGATTTTATGTTTGAGAGGTGGGGCTTGCCAGATTCTCTGATCCACTCCAAAACTAGTCATACTGTGTTACTGCGCTGCTTTGGGGCTTGCCACAGACATTTTTATGTGAAGATTCTGTCCCTGTACTCCTGACTTGTTTGGTACTCATTGTGCGGTCTGGAACTTATTGTTGACTGCTGCATGGCTTCGCCCTTTTCAGCCAAAACATCTGAGACTCATCAGTCTGTTTGTACTAGTTCCCACCTCCCAGAACCTAGTAAGGACAAGGAACAAGGTAAACGAGGCACTGGGGTAATGGCCGTGCAGAGCAATCAGGGTCTGCTGGCTGCAAAGGGATGGATTGACACTGAAGGTGTCCCAATGAGGCGCCACTCATTCAGCTAGGTCACCCTCTGCGCCCTCCCTAACTCGCCAGGAAATCGGAGAATTTCTTCAGTACTTCCCTGTCCTCCTGCTTTATGTGATTGTCTCCTCATCTGGCTGTTTCTGTCAGCCACTTGCACAATTAGCAAGTTTTTCTCCCTGGAAACTTTTAGGATCTTCTCTCTGTTGCCATTATTCTCAAATTGCACCATAATATACAGTGGTGCCTCAGTTCATGAACTTGATTTGTTCTATCATTTTGGTATATGTGCTGTGGAAGCAGGCACTGTTCTGTGATTTTGGAAAAGATGGCCACGTTTGTGCTTGTGTGGGAAAGTTGGTCGCAGTCCTGTTTGTCACTGGGTGCAATTTGCAGACAAAAACAAAATTCTGCCAGATGCTTCTGTTTGAAAACAAGGCTTTCATAAACTGAGGTACATCTGTACTTCGGTGTAGATCTACTTTGGGAGGTGTAGATGTACTTTTATTCATTGTATTGGCCATTTAGTGGGACTGTTCAATTTGAGATTTTAAAATTATTATATAGATAATATTTTAAAATTAAAAGTCAGTAAATGGAAATGATTTTTAAAAACCATATATGAAGTGGCCAGGGATTTAGCTCAGAGACACCAAGCCTGCCTTGCAAGTGCAAGGTCCTGAGTTTGATCTCCAGGACCAAAAAAGCCAAAACAAAATAAAGCCAAAAACCGTATGTGAAGGTATATAATGAAAACTAAATTTATCTTTCTCACCAGTTCTCTCCCCAGACAGTAGCCTCCCTTTTAAATTTTCTTTAATGCTGATTGTTAAAAAGTATCTCTGGAATCAAGAGTATCTTGCTGGGTTTGGTTTGCTGGTTTAATATTAGCCTCTCTGCATATATAATTTTGGCAATATATTACATATTTTTTAATTAAACTGCTAGGAAACTTCTAATTACCAAACCATTTACTTGATATTTTATTTGATATTCTATTATTTGCTTATGCTACTTTTATGAATAAAGTATTCATATTGTATTTGCATAGAAAATTATTGGTATATCTTTTTTCAAAGTGGATATTTTTGTAATCAACTTATAATTTTATATATATTTAAGTCATTGATTAATGAATGATTGATGAACTCAATGGAAGTGGAATATACTTACTAATGTTTAAAAGTGTTATTGAGTGCCTGTTGGGCTAAAGCAAGATGATTGACACTTCTTTGTTTTGTTTTCTCCTGGCATGTCTTCTGCTCTTTTTTTTTTTTTTTTGGTACTGGGGATCGAACTCAGGTCTTCGTACTTGCGAGGCAGGCACATTGCCACTGAGCTAAATCCCTGGCCCATGTTTTCTGCTCTTACACACGAATTCTGGGATTGTTTTATCTTTTCCACATTGTTGAAAATACATAGTTTTACTTTCTCTTTAGATTGTTCAAATCTTTTTTCCGCCAAAACCCACAAAGCCATTTTTTTCAGTGTGTGTGTATTATATACACACCATACAATGGCAGTGTTAAACAGTCACTGGTGTTTGATGAGATGGTTGATAGTGTGAGAATATGTAAGTATGTGTGCATGTAAGAAAACACCTACTGCAGTTGAAGTCTGGCAGATGCTTAAACAAAATCTTCATAGCTATAATGTCCAAAAGCTTGATTATGCATATTGCCAGATTTTAAGTGGGTGAGGATAGCTAGCTTCATTATATCCTAAACTGAAAAGATAGGAATATTATGAGGTAGACATTTGAAGGAAGCAGTATTTTTCCTTTGTTAACAATTTCCTTTAAAGGACTTTGCTTTGTTTGCTTTATTACTTTGCTTAAGAGGAAAGATTGCTTGTCATTAGTTCTTAGTACAGTTTTTCTGTGAAAATTTTTCCTTATCGGTAAATAAATTTCCTTACAGGTTTTGAAGCCATACTGTAGAACTTTTTTTTTATTAATTATGTTCCTGAGTGATACTTTAATTATTGGGGATAAAGTATATGTTTAAATGTATTCTTACCAATAATATCTAGAAATTATGTACGCTATTTTTGTATAATATTGAGAATTGTAAAAGTGACTAAATGTTGGTTTTATGTAACTTTTCTTTGCCAGATGATGGACCTACCCACAATGACTCTGCTCCTGACACGACGGCCATGACCCTGCCAAGCGAGTCCAGGGTCAATGTCCACGCCATCGTTGCACTAAAATTATTAGATTACAGGTATGGAGTTCACTGTACTGAACACACTGAAATTACAGAACACACTGAAAACTTCTGAGAAAAAAAAAATCCTTCAGAAAAAGTACAGTTGGTGAGGAAAAATACCGAAGTACTTAACTTAGAATTATAGCAGTTGTGAAAACAGTGATGAAATAAAAGTATAATGAACTTAGACCCCCATTCCTCACATGAGTTATTATGCCTAGGAGGTCGATGATACAGTAATACTGAAATACTTCATAATGCAAAGATTTATTATGATAAAAAATGAAAGAGTGACCATATTGCTAATAAAATTCTCTGATTCAGTGATCAGCATGGAGAGAGAATTTTACATTAGAAGGTGGGTTGTTGGTAAACAAGAAACAAGCATCATTTAGTTAATGAAATATTTGACTAAAGTAAGTAACTTTTCACAGTCATAATATGTTCTGGTAGCACGTACATTAACAGTTATATTAGTGTATAAATTGAGAGAAAAGCCTACAATTTTTATATCTTTTAAAGTTGTTGGGGAAGGAAGATGCCTATGCAAGGACTGAAGGTACTGTAAAGTATTCTTTCAGTACTAAAGCAACAATGATAAAAATAAGCAGTCCTGTCAGAGCTTTTGGTGATTGGTTTACAAATGGATATTGAATTGAATAGAAAAGAATGCAGATTCGAGCCAGGTTGGGGGTGCACGCCTGTAATCTCAGCACTTTGGGAGACTGAGGCAGAAGAATTCTAAGTTTTGGGCCGAGGATTTAGCTCAGTGGTTCCTCCGCCTGCCTTGCAAGCGCAAGGACCCAAGTTTGATCCCCAGTACCAAAAAAAAAAAAAAAAAAGAATTCTAAGTTTGAGCTCAGCCTTTGCAGCTTAGTGAGTTAGTGAGGTGCTGCCTCAAAATGAGTCTTAGAGAGAGAGAGAGAGAAAGCAGAGGCTCCAGCCAGACAGGTGACGAGACTCATACAAGAATCTACACAGCCCTCATTGGAGTCTTGATCTCATTGTACCTTTTTTTTTTTGGTACTGGGGATCAAACTTGGGACCTTGTGGTTGCAGGTCAGGCGCTGGAACCACTGAACTAAATCACCGGCCTGACCTTGTACCTTTAATGTCTCAGTAGGAATCATCTCAACAGTCAGGTTCCAATTTCCATTTCAAGGGTTTTGTTTTCCATTCACATAGTTTCCATCTCTTGCTTGTGTGTGTAGAAATCATGACTTTAAGCCAAATGCTTTTTGCCATGCTGACGTAGGCAGTTTTCCTCTGACTTTTGTTTGTGTGCATCTTCTCACGCAGCGTGGTGACCGAGTGTGTCTTCCCCACAGTGTGTCCAGCACATCTACCTGTTTATGCAGTGATCTTTCTGGAGTTTAGCAAGAATCACATTCTATAGGAGCTGCCACCAACATAGCGATCGATGACCCTGACTTCGTTCCTGCCTTAGGACTCTTAGCTTAGGGTTTCTTTTGTCCCCGTCTCCATTCCCTGGTCCCTGAGTGGATGCCATTCATGTGGTCCTAATTTGGCACTAGGCACTGTGCTAGGTCATTTATACTATATATAAGGTTTCTGTTAATGATACAAAAACTATCAAGTAGTGCTAAGCCAGTTTTATTTGGGATACCATTCCCAATCTTTACAAAGCCTAGATATTATAAAACATAATAAAGACACAAATCAGGTTGTTTGGATTCTAACTTTATTGTACTTATTTTCTCAGACAATTTAGAGGAGTCTCTCATTTAAAATATAAACTAATTCTCAATCTTGAAACTTTTAAGTGGATGCTATTATGTTAAGCATTAATCATTGTAAAAAAATGAATGAAAGTATAATGGTTAATTATAATACCAACAAATTGATAAATCTCCAAATTTTGAAAGTTTTATATTTTCACTTAATATTAAATTTATTGAAATCTTACTGGAAATGTTAATAAAATTTATATATATTTATATTTGCAAATGATGTGGCATAAATAATAATGGTGAGCTCTTCAGATTCTAATTTCAAAGTACTGAGATTTAGGGAAGTTAAATTACAAAGCTCATTAATGATAACCCTGGGAATACCTCTGGATCAGTCCACTACTCGTGTCTACTTTGTCACATACTAAGGGAGAGAGAAATTGGTCTATGTGACTAACCTAAAACTCATTTACTATACTGATGAACTTTTTAAAGTGCTTGTTATCTTGCAGTACCCAAAGAAAGGTGACAACCCTTCTTCTGAGCTTTTAAGAAAAAGGGCGACAAATAGCTTTGAAATTATAAATTTAGGTCAAGTCAGAGGTAGGGGAATGTGCTATTTAGTTGCAATATGACTTGTAGGTTTCCTAGATTGTGAAAGTATCTTGTTTTTTATTTACACTGCATTTGTGAACGCGCAGAGTGTGGCACAATGTGATGTGACATAGTACCTTGACTAGGGTAAATTTTACTGGCATCCTTTACAGAACATCACAATCAACTACCTTGAAAACCTACAAAACCTTTAGGCCTTTAAAAATGAAGAATAGTCCTGTCTTTCTGGATTGCTAAGAGTATTTCATTTTTAAACCACTTTTCATTTAGTGATAAGCAAACAACTTTGATTCCTGATGAAGTGTTTGATGCAGTAAAAAGCAACGTTGTCACTTCGGTTAACTTCAGTAAGAATCAGCTATGTGAAATTCCAAAAAGGTAAGACGTATTCATGACGCAGTTTTATTAAGGGGTGCCTCATTCTCAATTGTGTCCGTATTGTAGTTGCAAGAAAGATTATTTTTCGTGGTTCTTTAATTTGAAGGTACATATTAAATTTCCTGGTTTCTTAGTATTAGAAGGATATAGCAAAATGTCTGAGATACTTTCTCATTTGTCCTGAGAAGTATACAGGAGTCTTAAAACTTTATTTCTCTTTTTTACATTGTAAACTTGGAAAATAGGTATTATAGTTATTAAAAATACTAAATTATTTTTCCTGTATAGTGAAATGTTATAGAGGAAAATGTTATAGAGGAAAATTGTTGGGACAACCCAATTACAGTTCCATATGTATTAATAGAAATTTTCATTTCCGGCCTTATGTTAATGAATTATAGCAGGAATCAAACGAAAGTATATTCAAATAAAGTTGACAGATAACCTAGCAGTTACTACAACTCTGTGTGAGGCACAAGAACTTAGGCATGGAGTCAGTTGCTTATACTGTGTCCCAGATACACTAAGCTATAGTTGAACAATTAACTAGCTCCTCTTAGATTCATTTGTGGAGCAAGGATAAAAGCAATACTTTTTATAAGAATCAAGTTAAGTGGCACAATTCATACATAGCATTTAACCAAGCCCAGGACTTAGTAAGCACTTAAATAGTGAAAAGAAGGGGGAAAAAATGATGATGAGGAGGAGGATATGTTGAGGAAATAGAATGACTTTCATCTGACTGCCAAAAAATTTTTTTTTGATGTTTAGAAATTTTTTAAAGTCAGGAAAACTGTGAAATATATTCTATTTATAGAGCACAGGTTGAGGATGGTAACTTTAAGAGCAACCACTGCAAAGGGAGAGCCAGTCCATCTTCTGGTTTTCCCTTGTTCATAGGGCTGAGAAGATATTTTAGGGAACAGGTGAGCATTTAGATTTGCTCACAGGATAGGTTTGCATTGGGGACATGGATCAAACAAGTTAATTGATAATAACAGTGAAGTGATTTAAGAGATATTACCTTATTAAATATTTTATCATTTTATTTCTCAGTCTGCTTCTTCTTGTCCAAATCAAAGTTACTCTGTTACCAGGGCTACTGTATGACTTTTTTTTGGAATTTAAAGGGCCAATGAAAAAGGATAGTAAAGGCATACCTTGCTTTGGAGTATGCAAACCACACTTCTCCTTTTTCCTTCATTTTTTTAATACATAAGTCATACTTTTCTCCACAGTTTTCTTTATAACAATAATATGTATTCATAAGATTTTGGATCATGTGAAGCAACATATCAGGCATAGTCCTATCACTGAATTATTGTGCTTAGTGACATTTTATTTCGAGCTATTCCTGACTTGAAGTTATATCACACATGTAATTTATATCTTGACTGCTTCATTTGCCAAAAGTATTTACCTGTGTAGAGAGCTATCTAATTTAACTGTATCCAATAAGGTTGATTATAGCAACAAATAAGACATTCTTTCTTTAGACCAAATTTCCAGAAAAATTACTAAGTCAAATAGTATACCTCCTGATGGATATAGCACATCACTTTCAAAAAATAAATTTATCAGTTACACTCTAGAACTCATTTTCTCCTTCACTGCATCTTCTGCCCAACATTTGGTTTTCTTTCATTCTTTTTTCTTTGCTAATGTGATAGACTAAAAGTGACTTGTTGTAGTTTAACTTTTTTTGACAGATTATATTAATAGCATAACCAAAACTGCTAAGCTTGATTAGGCTTACTTAGAAATGTTTAATTGTTCCTCTTGAAGCTGGTAACACTTGTGAAACCTGGGAATTAACTCTGTGTTTTCTTATAATTATGATTAAATACAATTTGGGTAACGAATTGTATGAAAAAAGTTGACACATATTTTAAAAATATTCTTGAAGTACCTAGATGGAGATAGTATTATATTATATAATGTAAAGATGTTATAGATACATATATAAAAATTTGGCTTATGGTTTCAAGTTATTAACAAAGAAAGTAGAAAAATTACCTAGATCTTATTTCTCCTTTTTGCCACCATGAGTTTAAATACAGAATAAACAGGCTTTAAACTTAAACTTCAACATGCACTGCAGGTCAAATAGAAATTTTTGGATAATAGAAATTCTACAGTAAGGCTATTTTTTAAAAAAATACATTTTTATTAGTTACATATCCAACTGCAGTTTTTGTGAAAAGTAGAAGATACAAAAAGTCACAGTTGGGGCCGGGGATTTAGCTCAGTGGTTTCGCCACCTTGCTGCGTAAGTGCAAGGACCCAAGTTTGATTCCCGGTACCAAAAAGAAAAAAAGTCACAGTTGGCAGAAATGACAGGATTTTTCCCTGATGATCTGTTTGTGTACTGACAGCTTTGAAGTTCGGACAGTGAACACAGTGCTCACATTTTAATATGATTTTTGTTTCAGGATCATGGAACTGAAGGAGACAGTTTCTGATGTCAATCTTGGTTTTAATAAGCTTTCCTTTGTACCCTTGGAATTATGCATGCTTCAAAAATTGACTTTTTTAGATCTCAGGTATTTATTGTTACTGTTGCTTGACTTTTTAAAAATTAAGTCTTGTCTTTAATTTGCCCTAATTTGCCCTGTATATCATGTTTTTGTAGGTAGGTGTGGAAACTGGTCTTTCGCTAATTAACAATATGTGAGGAGAGATCTTAAAATTAAGTATTTAGGAAATATTTTAATAATACACTTGTCATTTGTAAGGAGTTTATAAGTGAGAAGACAAAGTTACTTAAAATATTAATATATTCTTTAAATTCAGGCCTAAGCAGGGGCCGGGGATTTAGCTCAGTGGCACTGTGCCTGCCTTGCAAGCTCAAGGTCCTGAGTTTGACCCTTGGTTCCAAAAAAAAAAAAAAGAAAGAAATTCAGGCCTAAGCAAGATCACAACACATGAGGAATATTGCCTTTGTATTTTCCTGAAAGTAAATAGTGTAAATCTGGCCCAACCCTGTGCAGCTCACCAGCTTAGGTGGCTTCCCTCAGAGGAACCGTCTTGGTTTCAAAGTGCTGCATTGAACATACAAATGTAGAACACTGTGACTGCCAACACAAAGAAAGGAAACAGGTTTAGGCTCTGCGGAAGTGAGAAAGTTTAAAGAGGTCTAGTTTGACGTGATGGGATCAGAAGCGTGATGGTTCTTTAAGGGTATCTCACGTTATGTGGTCATTTATATGCTTGGACTTTACAGTTATATTTGTAAACCATATCTCTGGCGCCTGGGCTAAGTAACCACATTTCACTTTCATGTCTGATAGCAGTTAAGTATAAGACTCTAGGAACTCAAAAATAGTAATCATGAGTGTTATTCTGTATAACACAGACAGTAAGTGTGGAAAAGTACAGAGGAAATGGAAAAGGACAGAGGTTGCACTGTAGAATCTGTGACTTCTCTATTAGGCTGAATAGATACCCAGAGAAACAGGTTAGAGAGAATTACTCCATTGTAAAAGATTATCATCTAGGTGCAAATAATTTTATCACAAGTTTCCTCCTCTTAGTAGTTACGCTGCCTCTAAAGTCCTTCTGCCTTACCGTTAACCCATCTTCAAACACTGCTCCCTGATCCTCCTTTTAACAAGAAACAAGATTCTCTGTATTTCTGTTTCAGTGTCAGATCTTAAAAAATATCCATTTACAAATTGAAATTCCAAACTTAGAAATGACTTGCTTAATACCTGCTGAGTAGAAAGATCCAAGTTTCTAAACATATAGAATCTCCTTAACTTCCTGTTTCATTTTATCCTATAACTTTTTAATTCTTGGAATAGAATTTCATATCTATGTGCAAGAAATGTGTATTAACACCAAAAGGGTGTTTATTTCATATAGTATTACAAATATGATTGGAAGGGCCCAGCTATGAGTATTACTGAACCCACTTTGAAGGCCTTAAGGAATTGATTCACAGTGTTTACCCTGTTATATCTGTTTTCCAAAAGTTGACTTCATTGTGAGCTGGCTGCGTATTGTTGTTAGGATTTGCCACTAACCAAATACTTGAGTCAGCTGACAGATTCGAAATTCTCAGGGCCAGGGATTTAGCTTAGTGGTTCTGCCACCTGCCCCGCAAGTGCAAGGACCTGAGTTCAATCCCCGGTACCAAAAAAAAAAACTTCTCAGAACTCAGCCTTAATGACATCAGATTATGTATTCATAAACTCGTCCATGTATTTTTTTTCTCTTCAAAATTTTACAAATAAACTTGTAGAAATTTTCAAAAATTGTAAATCATCTATTTTTATTTCTAATTTAGGAACAATTTTTTAAATTCTTTGCCTGAAGACATGAAATCATTGATAAGACTACAAACGATCAATCTTTCCTTTAATAGGTAAGAGACAGAACACAGTCATTATAGTCATTCTGTAGAAAATATGTATTTATTACTGAGAAAACAACTAAAAGAGTCAAATAAAAAGACCCCTTATTTTTACTCTACTTCAGTATGCAGATGTTATTTTCATTTAGTTCTACATAGTACTGAAAGTGATGTTGCTTGCTTAGAATTCTCACAATTGATATCTAGCAGAGTTTTTGTTTCCTTTTGTACCATTTTGAGAACCCTATGGTCTAGTGGGAAAAAAAATACATACACATAAATGTCATTGCTTTAATGGAAGCATGTGCATAGGCAAAGGTATCTTCTGAAATTACCCGAAGACGGAGGAGGTGACATGGAAACCCGGGCTTAGAAAGTAGGCATTTGCCAAGCACACCGTTGGCAGGCATCCCAGTTGGGGCACGTAGCGTTCACAGAGTTCCAAACACGTGAGAGCAGAGTGTGCCTGAGGGACTTGAAGAAGCTCTGTCGCCGAGGCCCACGATAGAGGAGATGAGGTGCAGAGTAACAGTGAGACTGGGGGTGTAAGCGGTAGCTAAGTAAAATTCAGATGTTTTTCTACAAACACTCTCAAGATAACTACAGATAATTCAAGAACAGCTCATACTTATTACCTGAGCGTGCTGTATTAAGTACTTTAGGTGGCCTAGCTCATTCTATGTGGTACATTCTGTTATACCTATTTAAAAACCAAAGACTAGAAGCTAAATAATTTATGTAAGACATACCTAGGTAGTAAGGTACATGGGGCTGGAATTTGAATCCAGGTGGTTCTGCTCCAAAAGTTGGGCTCCTAACAGCTATGTCATGTTATTTGCTATGATGAAAATTGATTCTAGTAGCAATTTAATAAAAATATTAGTAGCTAGCATTTACTGTGACCCTCATAAGGTCTTCAGATACATTTATTCAATCCTTCTAACCAGTTTACACGTTTAATAGTATTATCATTCCTCATTTATGGTGAGGAAGCTAATGGATGGTGATATTAAATACACCTTATTAATTTCTGATCAGCTTGCTCCATTATTTGTGCTTTCTCATGGATAGATCACGCCATTATTGTCATTACTAAAAATACACCAACTCCTCAGATCTCTTCTAATTTTTACTGGTAAATTGAGGGGTCGCTTTTCTATTGCACTGTCTGTTACGCTACCAGTTACACTGTCAGCAGTGCATTTGGGGAAGTGGCAGAAACTAACCCTAGCTTCTGTGTTAACAGGTAGAATTAGCTCCCATAATTACCATGTTCAGAGTTGGAGGAGAGTGAAGAGAAAGAGGCTTCTGAGGGGCCGGTTGGTCCATCTGTACTCTTGATTATTGGCTCTTTCATGCCACTGAATCTTCAGAGCTGTCTTGAGTCTCCCCTCCGTTACTGTTTTTTGTTTGTCTTATATATCAGAACAGCAAAAGAAGGAAACGGAGTGTGGGCAGTGAAAAGAGCACAGCTATAAAAGCTCTCCATGAGCCCATCCTTGGCTAGTCCATGGTGCACTTTACCTCATGCAAACAGTGCACCGGCCTTGTCCTCTGTGGGTTCATGTCAGCTGAGAGCAGGCTCTGAGAGCCACCCACCTGCCTGTCTTTCTTCCTCGAGGCACCTTCAGGGTTGCTTTGGCCCCGGAAGTGGGCTGTGTGAGTCTGGACAAGGAAGTCTGTGGTCTGGTCATCCTCTTAACGCAAAGTGTACTTGTCTTGGAAGCCTCATTCAAAGTAAAATACAATTCTGAAATTTTACTTAATAGATTGGCAGTGATTCATAAGAAGTAAAAGTGAACTCAGGAAGAATACCTATATAAAAAAACATTGTATACGGAAGCTCAGGAAAATTTCCTTATGTCCTGAATGTGAACAGAAAAACACGGGAGACCTGATCCTGAACCTTTGATTTTCATGCAGTCAGTAGTAATTTATAAGTCTGTCCACTCAGCATGTATTGCAGGGTTTCCAAAATGAACCCATTTTCTTTATTTTCTGGAAAATTTGAACATAGGACTTATACTAAATATCAATAGACTACATTAAAGAAGGCTTTATTTCATGATATAAAATTTAAGATCATCTATTAGGGAAAGATTTTCTTCTGATTCCAAGTGCTCTGTTCATATATTAATAGGTTCAAAGTTCTACCGGAAGTCTTATATCATATCCCCACACTGGAGTCAATTCTGATTAGTAATAATCAGGTTGGGTCTCTGGATCCTCAGAAAATGAAGATGATGGAAAATCTGATGACGCTGGACCTTCAGAATAATGACCTTCTACAAATTCCACCAGAGCTCGGTAATTGTGTGAGCTTGAGGTAACCATACCATTCTACTGAATTTTTTCATTTATTGACTTGATTTGTTGAAGTGGTTTATTTTTTCACGATTGAATCTTGGAGAAAGTTGAAGGAACTTAATATTCTGTTAAAAATAACAGTTAATTGGGCCGGGGATTTAGCTCAGTGGATGTGCCACCTGCTTCGCAAGTGCAAGGACCCAAGTTCGATCCCTGGTACCAAAAAAACCCCCCAAAAACAGTTAATGTTGGGCCAGGGATTTAGCTCAGTGGTGCTGATGCCTGCCTCGCAAGCACAAGGTTCTGAGTTCCATCCGGGTACCCAAAAAAATAAAAAATAAAATAACAGTTGATGCAATTCAGAATCCCAATTCTGGTTTTCAGATTTTACCAAATATTTTAAGCTTTGTTTATATAGTATTATATATGTATAAGTATCCTAAGTATTTCTAGTAGCACTTTTCTCATTGTTATATATGTTTATAACCTGAAACTACTGCATAGAAAATGTCAGGCGAACATGAGCTTTCTGCATAGGGTTTCTGAAACCTGATTATAGACTGTCACCATTGCAGCCCAGCGTGGTCTCTCTCACTCTTTACGTCTACTGTTCTCTCAGTCTTTACCCCGCTTTCTTCCGTAATCAACCTAACAGTCCCCTTTGTGAAAACTTTCCCTATTCTCCAAGCAGAATTAGACTCTGCTCTGATCTCCTGTTAAGTTCTTTATGGACCTTCTTATGCCATTTCTTTGGTATTTTAGAAAACAGCTGTTCCAGTGCCTGGAGCATAGTAAGCACTCAGTAGTGCTGGTTAAGTGAATATAAAGGAAGTTTGTGCTGTTAATGGAAAGCTAGCTAAGCAGAATGTATCTGAAGAATTTATTATCGAAAACTACATCTTAATTGTTTAGTGTGTTTTCCTTCACTGGGTCAGCACCGCATCTGCTCTGCTACTCATAGCAGTGAATTGGAGGAGACAAGTAGAGCTGATTCTAGAAGTTCACTGTGAGCCAAATGAATGAATACTGAGCCATTGTTCCAAGGGGAAGTGCAGGGTCAGGTTCTCTGCAAAACTCTGGGCACATTTTCATCAGCCCATAAGTACATAACTGTTTTGTTTGTGTGCTTCTGAATTTATTGTTGATTTGTTAACATGGAATTAATGGCCAACAGCGCTATATTTCATGTCTGAATGAAGCTTACCTAACACATATATTTTCCATGAGGCACATGTGTGCTTAGGAAAACTAGACAACGCTTCACTTTGGGCCATCTAAACAGTAAAAATCACCAACAGAAAAGCTACAAAAATATGTAAGGTGTGACATCAGATGCACAGTAGAAAACGTGTTTGGCACAGTAGGAGAGCTGAAACAAGAAAGCAGGCCAGCATCTTGTTTGATGCCATTTGGGACCACTCTGGGCAGGTGACTCAAATGCATCGCCGCTCTGTGCATGTCCGTGAATGACCTCAGAAATGCCACACCTATGGATTTTCAGGTTTCCAACAAATTTCATGAGTAGGAAAATTTGCAAATATGGAATCTGTGACTAATAATTAGCTGCTTTTTTCTAGAAATTAAGAAAATCTCTGAAAGAGTTCCCAAAAAGCAAAAATTTGAAGATACAGTTTAAATCATCTGTGTAACATGGTCTGAGTCCTTTGACTTTTGTTTACATGAACACTTAAATTGTTTGAATTAATTTAAAAGTCTTCTAATTGAAGATATTTCACTAATTGTATAAAGAAACAAAAGAACCAGCCCCTGATTCTTTAGTTGAATGTGTAAAGAGAATATCTGCATATGTATGTGCTAGGGAGAGAGGGTGGACTCATGTTCATGATGCGTTGGTTACATTATAGTCCTGGTCGGCTCCCTCATTCTGTCTGAACCTCTCTGTTCATGTAGTATATGGCCATTGTAAGCTTGGGAGGAGGCGGGACAGAATGATGGCTGAGATCACAGCTCCACTGTCCAGTGGCTGTTTGATCTTAGTCAGGGCCATGTTACCTCCTGGAATTTGTGTTTCCCCATCTGTGAATTAGGAATGTTAATGGTACCTACACCATCGGATTGTTAAGACAGTTGAGACAGTGAAAATAAATAATGCATGCAGTACCTTTCACATAATGATTACTCAATATTGTTTGGGTTATTATTGTAGTTGTAGTTTCAACTGTTTAAATGCTCAGTTTTGAAAAGGGACAAATAAAAAACAAAAATTTTACTTATAAAATTGCAAATAAAATTTATTTTCATGAAAAAAAATCTCAACAGTGGAAAATGCCTCAAGTTCCCAATTTCTCTTTTGTTTTAGAACATTACTGCTAGATGGAAACCCATTCCGCGTCCCTCGAGCAGCCATATTAATGAAAGGAACAGCTGCAGTACTGGAATACTTGAGAGACCGAATTCCTACTTAAATTAGAGATATTTTCTAACTTTGGTCAGTTTCATTCTCAGAGGGATATAATATTTTGTTTCAATATCATCCCAAAGGTGATTGCTATAATTGGTCTTAAAGTTTCCCAGGGTCACCTAGCCATGGGTTTAATTGGCCTGGGCTGTATTCACTGCCACTAATTGTTTCTTACTGACAGTTGTTTAACATTTTTCTAAGATGTACTCTATATGTATAATGGTGGAAACCACATAGAGTCATGCAGTGTTCACACTTTTGAATGTTTTACCCAGGGTTTATCCTGCTCATATTCATTCCCTTAATCTTTTAGCTACTTTCTTCAAAACTGAATTTTTTGTTTGATTGTTTTGTGTGACAGGGTCTCACTGTGTAGTTCAGGCTGACTTTGAACTCCTGGTCATCCTCCTGCCTCAGCCTCCTGAGTGCTAGGATCACAGGCGTGCACCACCACACCCAGCCAAAAGTGAATTTTTGGTCACTATGATTTAATATTTTTATAACAACATTTTTGTAGAACTGGGTATTTTCCCCTTGTTTCTTTTTGTATTCCACATAAAATTAACGTTGCCTTGTTTTTATTTGTAATCTAGCAGAAATGTTTCTTTTCTAGTGATGAAGTAGGTGTTTTCTGTGTTTCAGAAAACCATTTCATCAAGTTTGCTGATTTCACAAAAATGCTACTCAAGATACAGAAATTGACGGAAAGTGAAAGTGTTACTGTGACTGCTGCCACAGAAGCAGGGGCACTTTCACTTGCTTCCCGCAGCCGCACTAACACCTGACAGTTTATTTTAAAAAATGCCTTCTTCGTGTTTTCACACGATAATCTACTACTTTTTCCTTCATGAGAATTAAAGGGGTGAGATTTGCACATTTCCCCCTCAGTCAGAGCATCAGCATTTAAATGCCTTTCGTCCCTTAAGGAAAAAAAATATTGATGTCGTTACCTTATTAATTGTATAGAGGACAGCAGCAGAGAACTGTGAATGCTGTCATTTGGCAGTCTTGAAGTGTGTTTTGTTTAAGTACTTACTGGGCAAGTATTTGTATACTTCATGTACCTGTGGGCATGTTTTGATCCAACCTTGTGTACCGTTTTATTTCCAGCACTTTAATTTTAAAATTTGTTTGCAGTCCTGTTAAGACTAGCAGCCATGCAGCAGTTTTCTAAAAGGGAATTTAACATAGGTAAACTTGATTTAATGAAAGTCAAATATAAAGTTTTGTTTACACTAAAATTATTGGGAAGAGGTTGGCCTGTCGTTATGACACTTACACCTTTCTCCTAAGTCACCGATTCAGTGGCCTGTATATCAATAGATAGATGTGGTTTAGATAGCTTTGGGATGATTGAGGCATGAATCATGAAAAAGGTCATTGCAAATGGAGATAAATACTACATGTTCATAATAAAAAATTTTTCAAGCATTGATTACAATGTTTGTTTTTGTGTTGAAAGAAACATGCTCCTTTTATGTTACAACTCTAATAGTAAACAAGACGCTTTACAATAAGGTGACATTTTATTATTTATACAATAAAGAGACTTTTATGTTATTCAAAACACTTTTTTTTTAAATACTGAAAAAGTTGAGTACACCAAAGCCGAAAAATGGCTCTGCTATACACTGCACAGCATTATTTTAGTCCCTGTATTTTGTATCTGTACAGAAAGCATCTTCAAAATGCATTCTAATCACATTGTACACCTGTACCGATTAGTGTCAGTACATAAAATAAAACTGGCAAGTACAGCTTGCATTTGCAAATTAACTGATAAGGTAATTAATCTCACTGATTCAGTAAATTTAAAATATAAATTCATAGGACTTCTTTGCACATAAAATGAAGCAGCTTTCAAGGTCATTATGGTCTCATACTGCAAAAAAACTGTTAAGTACATTCACAATCTATGTTAATAAAGTAGTAAATATGTCTTCATTCAGTTCTATTTACATCAGTATGTAGTTCAACTAAAAAGTACTGTTAATCATGATACAGTAGTTTTTTGAACACATACAAAAAACAATTTTTATATATAATTTTAAGCTCAAAATCACAATTATCTCAAAATATTAATTACAATACAGCCATTTCAATTAAACATGTCATGATTTGATTTTTTTTTATAAAATGGTAAAACTTTATTAAAGTAAGCAATTTATTTCGAATTGGCTAGAGTACACCCAAGTAGAAAATCTTAAATGTTATGAGGCATTTCCTGCCCCCTCCCACCCGAATTTGTATACAGCCACCTAGGCTAGCAAAGAGACAGAAAAGGCCCCAATTTATAAAGATTAAGCCTCTTTTGCTATCTGCTGTGGTCTGTTGGTTCTTCCATAAACGCTTTACAAGGGGAGTATCAATAAACTGCCATGGAGTGCATGCATTCATATACAGTATGTCTGTAAAATGTCCATGTTTACTAATGCACATTAAAATGTTCACAAAGACCGCAAAAGAAGTCATAAGTAAAGAAGCACTTTATCTGCCAGTCACATACTGTAAATTTGAATACTACTTGATAATAGAATGGAATTTCTTTGCAATCGGATTCCCAATTCTAGTCCTTTCTCTGACTAAAGGAGGCCTTAAGGTGTCACTGTTGCGCTGCACATATGGTAGTGAAGTTAGGTGTCAGGAAAGAACGAGCATCTAGAGACTTCATTTTACTAAAATATCGACTCAAAGTTGCATCACCGCCCTGGAATTTCTGTTAAACTTACAGGAGAGTGAAATATTTCACTAACTGAATTATATGACCTCAAATGGAAGATCCTTGTGTTTGGCATATAAGAAAATAATAACATAAAGGAGGAATTACAACTTAATTTTATAGAATGTTCCAACAGAACTGAAGTCAAAAGTAGTCAATTATTAACTAGTTTAGATAATGAAAATAATTTTCATAGATACTTAAAACCTGAAAGCATTATGTACTATCTTTTCACTTTAAATTCTTAACAAACCAAAAACCGTATCACTGTCTTCCTTTACAATCACTGCTGTTAGTTTAATATTTCTCCTCTAAGTAGGCTAACACCATAGTTCATCTTAGTGTTCGCGTGTACACAGCTGGGTAGGGAGTGTGCTTGCATGGATTGCAAAGTGGGAAAAATAAAAACAAAGCTGTGGTACTTGGAATTACAGTAAGCTTGCAATAACCTTACTTTTACAAGTCATTTGTTAATGGGCTTTGAAATTCACAAACTAGTAAGTAGATTTACCTCTGATTTTCCATTAACCTTAGAAAAATGCCCTCCCTCCACCTGTAGATCATGGCGTCACCCTTAAGCCTCCATTAGTCCTTTCCAGACAGGAGCACAGCGAGAAACGCTGTTGGCTCTTCAAATAAAAAAAACGTAGTTCACCTATCACCTATCTTTCTCTTCTTTCCAAACTGAAAATAGTAAGGCTTTCATTTTCAAGGAGGATACTGTAGTAAAAGGGCAATGCCTAATTGTCAAAGAGCAGGAGTATCAAACATTTATTGCATTCCACAGACACCAGGTGTCGTCAGAGCTGAAAGACCTGTTCTTTCTGACCTGAACCAGGTGCCTTTCCCACATTTCAAGACCAGCAGGAGTCCTTTTGAGTGGAAAGACCACAAGTTTTGAAATAAAATTTATTTCAACAATACATTCTGAAAAGAAATTACTTTTCTAGCCAATATGGAAACTGCTTTATATATTATGTGAGTTTCATCTTGGTTTTCCTATGGACTTCACGAAAATTATCTAAGATTTCTCAACTAAGTAAGAGATTCTTCAGTCCAGGGTTAGGAACGTCTACAAAGGATGGAGAGACACAAGGAAATACAATGTGATTTCTTTAGTCCATTTGTCAAATGCTTTCCTTAACTCAGCTGTCATAAAGGTCAGCTGGCCTGCCATACGGGGCAATGTTTAACCTCATTTACTTCAGCTGTGCAAACAAAGAGACAAAGAAAAACCCTCCTATGTATGCGTGTCTACACGTAGACACAGAACCTGAGTCATAATAAAAGTTTGTAATATAAGAAAACTTTTCTTAATGTAGGAAAATAACCTTTAAAGAGCCAAAAATACCTTTGTACAATATAAGCAGCTAACTTTAAAACTTCAGTGTGCTTACCACGCATTTTATAAGACTCAGCACAAAAAGGGATAATTTACATTTGATAATTTTCTCAACTCTAGCTGAGATAACCACATTTTATATCTAACATCTATATTCATTCCCCTGAATTCATCAATTTGTCTAAAAACAAAAACCATAAAAAGGAAACTATACACACATTCAAATGAGTCCTGTTTAATTTCTGACAAAGAGTTCTTGCCTTTTTCCTGAATATTGAGGACACAGGAGTTTGGGGTTGCTAGTGCCAACCTAAAGAGGAGTTCTAAAATTTAAAACAAGTAAACTACGTAATGTTACTAAGAGAAACATTACTTGTGAAAACATTTTGCTCAGAGTCCGGCCAAAATCTGCCTAAAACTGGTCTCGTTTTTAGGCGCCCGCTCTTTAGACTTAAATCTTTAAAACCCCTGCTTTCTGCACCCTTGGTTCCTTAGCTTTCAGTGGATTTCTTCCTTTTTTCATTCTAAATACTCAACTGTCCCAGCTGGAGCGCCTCTGTACATGCAGCTGCCAGTTACAGTGTCCTCTTCCCTTACTACACCTTTATTTTTGGTTTCTTTTCTTCAGGAGCCCAGCACTCCAGAACAATTCCTTGGCTTCCTGTGTCATCTACTCTTCAGGTGAAAAGCTGCTTAAATGTGTCCTCACGGTCTTGTCACTAGATACCAATTTAAGGCTCAGTTTGGGACATACTTATTCCCTGGGCTACCTCTCAGATGCATATTGGTGATATTTTACAGAAAAGTGAGTGAAAGTTGCTTTTCCCTGCTGCCCCTAGTGGAGTCCATTAATTATGCATTTATGTCAGCTGTCGCTGTCACACTGGGAGAAGGGAAGCCATATGGACAAAAAGGATCATCCTGGCCAGGAGGGCTCTGGATACTGGCATCAGCAGCTGAAGGGTCCTGGGCGTTGCCCTTAAGAGCTGTCTCTCTTCCCTGTGAGTCTGGTTTGGGGACAAGAGGGGAAATGCCTGCCAGAGGGTTAGGGATTTTTGCCATTAGCAAGGAACTGGAGTCTCTTCCTGTCTTTTTCTATGACACTTGCCTGAGAAGGATTCTGCATTGTGCAGAAGGCTAAAAGCAGAGTCACACGTTCTCTGCTAACAGACTTGTTGCCATGGGAACCAATGCAGAAAAACGAAAATAAGACTAGAAGTGAAAAATCAAATGTGGAAAAAAAGAATTGCCACGGAATTGGTTTCTACATGGCAATTTGGGCATTTGGGATTTAAAGAAAGAGCCCGTTCCCCAAGTGGTCAGATCAATGGAAGTGGACGAACTGCCGAGCTGGTCGCTGATCCCAGGAGGCCAGAGATAGTGGTGCAGGGAGAGAGTGGTGTGGAGGTTGCAGCTTGCAGGAGGGGAACTTTGTAAAATCCAGTTCCATCCCGATAAAGGTAAGCTCTTCAGCCCAAATGTTCAGCTAACTGTATGATCAGACATGCCCCTCGGGAAAACACATCTATGCTTAGCTCCATAAACAAAAGCAGCCTGCTGTAACAATCCTAACCTTCCACAGCCAGCACACGTTACCTGACAAGATTATTGCACAACTAGCATATTATTGCTTGAAGCATCTTTCCAAATATTCAAAAACAGGGCCGGGGATTTAGGCCAGTGGTTCCGTCGCCTGCCTCGCAAGCGCAAGGACCTGAGTTCGATCCCCGGTACCAAAAAAAACAACAAAAAAACAAAGAGTGACAATAACAAACCCCACACCTTGCAAATGGGCAGCTCCCATCCCCCACAAGATAAGCTATTATAAGTAACTTAAAATTTACTTATTAGGGAAATAATTATTTCACTTCGCTTGATACAAGTCCTCCCTGTATTCTGGACTTGATAATAAATTGATTGAAGTAGACTATAGGACCCCAGGAAAATCTTCAGCACGGATTTAAGTTTCACCCTAATCTGAGAAAAACAGACATTTGTGTTGTATTTTCAGAGGCTCCGTGGGAACTGCACCTGTGTTGTCCCCAAGCCTCCCCAAAGGTTATTTCCTGAAATTCTATAATTAATGCTTTATTCCTGTGGCTGTAGCCTGGGCCTGTATTGAAATGCAATTACCCTCAGGAGCTGGGGAAAGGTCACACTGTTGATGACTTGATTCCCCAGAGAGCTAAGTTTCAGACAGTACTAAGACTCTTCACCTTAACCCTCCCATCCTCCCTCAAACACAGACGGAGAAGAAACTAGGAACACAACATCCACCTGTACAACAGGTAGGGATGCGGCCCAGGAAGCAGATTACCTACCAGGTATGGCTTACCAGGTAAGTTCCATCTTTAGGGGACATCTCACGACAAATGCCCTGAATAACTTTGCTCTTTGTGTCCAAAGTACACTGCACATAGATTTCACTAGAAACACTTTCTTACTGATGACTTCCTGCCTATTTGAGCTCCTTGCTGAAGCCTTTACCAATCTTCAATTCTTGCAATAACAAAAGCCCATTAGGTTATCTTCTTCTAAGAGTACTTTCACAACTCCAAAATCCAATAAAATACCGGTGTTTTCTCCCACTTGTGATCTGGAGGCACGCTCCACAATGCACACAGGACCCTACCCAGAGGTTTGAGTACAGTGGTCTCCCTGATGTTAGCCAATTTCTTATGCCAACATTTCGGTGAATTCCAGGAGTGGAGACACACATGCTTGGTTTTGGCAGGTGGGAGTTATTATAAAAAGCCTTGATTTTCTCTTCTTTCTTTTCTTTTCTTTTCTTTTTTTTTTTTTTTTAACTAAGAACAGAGAAGTAGATTGCTTTCCGAGATAGGCCAATAAAACATACTCGTATCTTCACAAGCAGCTATGCCTTTGAATTTGCCATATGATAAAGAGGAGATGGATGCTTCTCATTTCTATATGGTCTTTCTACAAGCACCTGATGCCTGGAGAGAGACTATCTGGTCACTCCTGAAAAAGGATTAGCTCTTGCCACAACCCCTCTGATCTAACCGGTAGATCATACCTTGAGCTTCTCCAGCAGAGGAGAAGTCACCCACCACTACCTTATTTAGTAATTTTTATCGCATTTGTTCATTCCTCAGACAAGAACAACTTAAAACTTAACAACAAATCTCGTAAGGTACTGAAAATTAAAATTCTACTCCTTTCAGTTTTTAAAAGTTGATTTGACCTCTTAACCCTACAAGGTTATACAAGTGATTCTCCACAGTATCATGTACCTTAAAATGTCATAGATGTAACTTGCAGTTTTTTCTAGTTTATCACATAGCTCAGTATTTCACAAAAGGATCAACTTCTTTGACATTAAGATTGGTTTTTCACTACCACGGGCATTTGGAAATTAAGAGATTTGGAACCATTAGTGGCATAATCATTCAGTGTGGCAGGCATTGTGTTTTACAGAACTAACTTTTAAAACCCAACAGCTCTCCCATATTGGCCACTGAATATACATAGTGATATAGGGATTTTTTTCAATACCTTCCACCTGGATATCCAGCATATTCTCAAAGTGTTATTTGAAGGTCAAGAGCCTTTGAATAACTATTTTCAAAGCACAATCTTATTTTCAAATGTATGCACACTGCATAATCCATTACATGCTTTTGATAAATTCATATTTCCTAAGATAATGCAAAAAGTCCAGATCAAGGCTAAAACTCACCCATTGTTTGAACCTATCTTTATTATATAGCTGCTGTTCCACCTTTTGGCTAACCCTAAAGCATTAAGAAGCTAATCCTAACATGAATAAAAAACTTTGATTTTTAACCTTAAACAGCAAAGACTGGTATTTTGTTGGAAATAAACAAATTCTACTGTTCAACTTGCCAATGGCGTTTAATATCTGAAGAGATTCCTCCTTTGGACTAACTTTTGGGAATTTGGAACACTGTCACTTTTCAGCACTTAGGAATGCTGCTGGGCAGCTGCAATTGGCAGTCCTGGGGTGCCCCGAGAGAAGGTCTGGTGGGGCTGGCCACACTGGGCTTCCCACTGGCCACTGAAGAGGCACACATGGGCTTGATCTATGCCTTCCTCATTCTAGGCTCTCTGTAGTTTATTTCCTAGAAAACATTATCTTAAGTGTTGTTCAAGTTGCATTCCTTTTTTTATTTTGTACTGAGGATCGAACTCAGAACCTTGTGCTTGTGAGGCAGGAGCAATGCCACTGAGCTAAATCCCCAGCCCACTCCTTTCTGAGTGGTATGTGTCCTATCCTGTCCTTACACACAAAGCCCCCTCCTAAGAATAGGGCGTTTGCTGACAATAGAGCAAATCTTTCTCCTGTGTATAGGTGCATGGTAAGTGTTCAGAATATGGTAAGTGTCCATGAGAAGTATGTACATTTTTATTAGGTATTTAGACCACAAGTGATTCTTTTAATGAAAAGGGACACTGAAGGTTAATTTCTATTCTTTCCTTCCCTGGGATGAATTCCTCCCATTAGAGCAGTAGGACTTGACGCCAAGCCTTAAGATGCCTATTGCCCTATGACTTTGACCCCAAATGGTTACCTCCTTGGAGCGGGACAAAGTGAAAGCAAAGTGGAAAGCTAGAGGTCAGCCAGCCTGTGACTATTCCTTCCCCATATGATTCATTCAGGAAGATACTGCAGTTACCTCTGTCTTGTCACCTGACACTTGGACTTTTTGAGAAGAAATTTTATCTATTTATCTATCCTCTTATCTATCTGTCATCTTTCTATCTTTCATCTATCTACCATCTATCATGTATCTCCAGGAACCTATCTTCATAAAGAAATTACAAATGTTCCTTATCCATATCATAAAAACAATAAAGCTGAAAATAGGCATTTGCCATTTTAGGACACCTCAGGAGAAAGTGACAACACATTGTTTTCCGTCCTCCCCTCATGTTTTGTAGCTACGCAGCGCATTAATTAGACTTTTTATGTGTTTTTGTCTCCCCACTAGATTGTGTTTCCTGAGGGTCTGGCCATGGCTTATTTACATTGTTATCTTTCACTGTTCTCATTATAGAACTTGGAACGTTCTTTGCTCATTCACATTGGATGATTAAATTGAATGTGCAGTAAGAAAAAGATGTTTTTAAATCAATGACTTTTTAAAAATCCGAGGATAAACGCTAAAGCCAGAGGGCAAACCCCAGCTTGGAGCCACATTAGGAGGGAACCGAGTCTCCCCTCCTCCTAGGGGCTGCAGTGGGCGGCGCTTGCGCGCTGAGCATGCGCCTGGGGCTCCAGTCAACCCAGGTCCCCGCTCCTCCCTGGGCTCCATCTCTTCAGCTCTGAGGGTCTGGATGAACTCTCACAGTAGGAGTAAGTATCAGGGGGTAGATGAGCACGGTGGGGATGTTTATGGAAGGGTTTTTTCAAAGGAAAGAAAAAGACATAGTCCCTCATCTTGAAGTAGACTATGATGACCTAGGGCCCTAGGTCACAGGGATGGGAACTATCGTTTTTAGGAAATATATGGAAAGGGGTGGACCCAATAGTGAGAGAGATGGAGCAGCAGAGGGGTGGTGTGCGTGTGTGGAGACAGAGTCTGGGGGAGGGAGGAGAGAGAGAGAGAGAGAGAGGGAGCCAAGTTCGAATTTTTTGGGAAATGGTCGCGCAGATCTGCAGTGCTGGGAGCAACATTCACAGTTTGGTAAAAGACAGCAGAGTGATGGCCTGCCAAGAATCTGGATCCTAAGGAGACCGAGTGGCCCTATCAAGTACAAAATCCCTCTTGCTGATAGAACGACCCCACAGGTATGCCTGAAGAACTATCAAAGATGGCTGGTTTTGAAATGAGTCAACGGCGTCCAGGGAAGAGAAGTGTTACACGTGAGGAATAGTATCCAAGATGATAATGGAGAGGAAACAACCAAAGTGAAGCTTTGCTTGTGACGACCACTCCTTTCTCAGGGAGGGACACAGCCGGCCCACCTGCTTCTTGGGGAGGAGGAGGGTGCAGGGGAGGCCACAGAGCCCCACAGTGTCCCCAATTCTCTTCCTGTAGCTCCAGAGTCCACTCTACTGCCTCTAAGTGGTTCCCATTCGTCCTGCATGCCTCGCAACCTCTTCCATCATGGCAGGAGTAGAAGATGATAATGTTGTTCATCATTGTGTGGTTCAGATAGGGGAAATAAAGGACAGCAATAAGCCACCAGCCCTCAGGCTCTTAGACAAACATCATCGCAGCAAACAAGGGAGCTCTGCCAGCTGCTGACCTAGTGACAGCTACCAGGAAGAAAACACTCAGATTAGCCAGATGTGATGAAGCTAAAAACCTGAGTAGTTGATACCAAAAGTCTACAGGTAGTAGACCAGGAGCACAAAGAGAAGCAGAAGAAGAAGCACTACTGGGGTGCATGGATAGAAACTTTCAAGCAATTTTCTCATCATTTGCGGTAAAATTCTTCTCAATTTTCACTGTCTACAACAATCTACTATCAGAAGCTTATGGAAGCCTAGAAGGGATGAAAATGATGGTGAAACAGAAAACAAGGCAAAGGAAAACACCAAATGCTGCATCTAAAAGAACAGAGCAATGGGGGCACCTGCTGTATTTGCTTTAAGATCTGTGGCAATGTCTGTCCGAGTTAAATTTGTTCGGGGGAGATCTAACTTCCTGGAAAAGAAAGGAAGCAAGTCTGGTGAACCAGCCAGTGGTGGTATCCCAAAATCAGCAGGCTGGAGGTCACAGTCAGAAAGCAGGAGAGAAGGTTGAATGGGACTTGCTAAGAAGTAGCTCACCGGACTGGTGGCTGGTGATCTTGTGCCTACATGAAACACTTTCCTTTGGAGGGAAACATTAGGATTTTAAAGAGTTCTATATAAACTTCAGGGAACAACCTTTCTTGTTCCCTCTAGGCTTGCTCTCAGTTGGAAGAAGAAAAAAAAGCAGAAGTGGTTGGCAGAGAAACTCCATGAACCCATAAATAAGTAGGGCTTTGATGGAATTAGCAAAGGAGGAGCCCAGATGAGGGTGCTGGCTGCGCTGTCAGGGTGAAGATATAATTAGCTTAGAAGAAGTAAAAAGAAACATTTGGCTTCTCTTGCCACGATCCAGGCACCAGAGGCCCTGAGATTCCAAATATCGAAGAACTAGAATAGCTTGGGGACACATGTCACCAAGGCTGCCAGGGCTCTGTGCCTTCAACGCCCAGAGTCTGATGGAAAGGAGAGAGGTCAGGGGAGACTGTCCACTTCCCTGGAATCTGATTTTCACTTCATAGGATGCTTTAAAAATACATTCCTCATTCAGTTCATACCAAGATAAAATCTGATTATAACATTATGCTGATTACTTGTACACACAGATAAAATGAAAAATGAGTTTACAGCAGCTGTCTACTTACTGCCAGATGCCTACAGGAAGTAAAGCTATCCACAGATATGCACAAATTCAGATTGGACCAGTTTATAGAATTATATAAAGAAGGTTATGCTAGGCAAACTTAGTTCTTGGTGTTTAAGTTTTAGAGTGTGCATTTAAAAAATAAAACTTGAGTGATTTGTGGCAAATATATTCCCACATGCTTGGAGTGAGCACACGGGAATGGAACATGCTTCAAATCATGAGAGGTTGGCAAAATATACTTGGAAAACACAAAGAAGTGGGAGAAGAATTATTAAAGTGATAGATGAGATCATTAAACCGAACAATTATAGAAACCCCTTAAAATAAATAAGTCAAGAGCTCTTATACTTTTCATACATTGTTTAGATAATTGTTTCAAAATCCATTCTTTAGAATATGGAAAGGGTGCTACTAACAATTACATTAGCACCACAGGTTTAAAATCTGCTCTGAGCTTGTGGTTGTCAAGGTCAGGGACAAAATCACCGTATTCGTTTTCCATCTAGTGGTGCTTTCTTGAACTGCAGGCACATCCCTTAAAGTATGTGGATGTGTCCAGGACTTGCAGTGTGTGTCAGACCTAAATCCAGTAATTTAAACTAAGAGTTTTATTGGGATGAAATGCAGCTTGTTGCTTTATCAGGGTGGGTTACAGAGAGAAGTGATACCCCTTTCTCCGAAGGAATTTAAAATGGCATTAACTCTTTCCTGAAGGGAGACAGACGGGACCCTCTCCAGGTCCTTTTCTGGTGTGGAGGGCTTCTACTTATGTCTGTATTGTTTGCTGTTGTTCTGATAGCAGTGCGCTGATAAATTTCCTTGTTCCGAGAAGTGGAAGAGACTTAAAAAAATTAAAATGACCACTACTGTACACAAATAGCTTCTCAAAATGCACAGCCATTAAACAGAACATATTTCTAATACAGGCCTTAGGTTTCATTTTGAATTCTTTCCTCGATATCTGGAACATCAGGAGAAAGGTTGGAGACCAAGAAGATCTGCAAAATCACCCTCTGGGCCAGCAGAGGGGAGAGGAGGAGAGGACTGAGGGCCTGCCAGGAAGAGGCTTCGGAAGCAGAATCCAGAGCCTGGGGCAGATGCGGGTGGCTGACGCTCCCTCCACCCTCTCCATTTTCCTTCTCCAGGCCTTTGTCTTCCTCATTTTCCTTTCCTCAGTCTTCTCCTTAAGTCATTTAATTCCCCCTTTCATCCAGCCCTCCCCTGCTTATACCATTCCTCACTTATTATTCCAAAATTCTCCCACTTAAAATACTTGAAGGACAGTGGACCCTTGACTTATGAACTCAATCTGTTCCCGAGGACTGGTTGTAACTCAAGTTCATCAGTGGAAGCTCACGCTCCTCTCTACAGCCTTCACAGTCTCTCTCCTGTACACAGGCAGATCTCAGTGTCTTCAGAGAGACACTGGCCCAGGATTCCTCTGTGAATCCCACACAGGAGAGGTTGTCATGTTCCTTCCAGAACTCTTTAAGGGTTAAATCTGTATCTGAGACCATCTGGAAGCACAAGCGACTGGCATTCAGGTCATAACTCAAGACTTTGATCATAAAGTAAAACTAAAATTTCAGTCATAACCCAAGTTGTTTGTATGTCAGGCTGGTTGTAACTGGAGGGTTTACTGTACTCTTATTACTGTAAAATACTCTTACCCACTTCCGGTCCTAACATCCCTCTCAGTATGTAACCTCTGCAGTGCATTTCTCAGATACTGGCATTCTTCTCCTTTTGTCACTATGCAGACATGGGCTCTAAGTGGCCTTCCAGGGATCCTTCTATCACCTATCCCTTCAAGCTCAACTCATGAGCTCTAAAGCTTTCTAAATCAAAGGCTCCATGAGAAGAAGACTGAAGTAACCAAAACAAAGACCAAGTAAGCTCTACTTATAAAAAGAACTTAAAAGCAGAGGGAAGGATGGGAGAAATGAGTATCCATAGCCTAAGCATAGGTGACAAACAGTCACTCAATTCTGGAATCCATTTGGTCTGACACTCAAATAGAAAAATATGGCATGTATTTTTGAGAGAAAGTTAAGACACAAATGTTTTACTTTGCATAAAATCACAGTTGCATGAGGTAAAAGAGAGACTGTGGTTAGGAGCTCACCCCACTGAGACATCATTCTTCCTTCAAGCTGCAGGGGTCCAAGTTCTTGTCCCTACAAGGAGGAATCTAGTGAAGCCAATGTTCACAGCAGCATAAACAGAATATTCCCTTTCTCCTTCAAGAGCAGTAGGCCAGATTCTGATCCCTATAAAAGTTTGGGGAGGGGAATGTGATTTTATCAAGGTAACCTTGAATTTTTGTAGTCTAGTTGCATAGTCAATTATACTAATTCTTTTCTTTTGTGGTGCTGGGGCTTGAACCAAGGGTCTTGCACATGATACCCACCCGTTGCTCGTCAACACTGTCCCCCTGAACCGTGGCCGAAGGCTTATGAACAGACTCTTCTTTCCTCTTTACAGTGGGCAGCACAAGGCAGCAGTTACAGTTCAGAGATCAAAGGGCTGAGCCCCACCTCCTCTCGGCTATCCTACCCTATTCCTTTCCTGATACCCTTATTCTTCCCACCTCCAAACTGTACAAAGAGTGCAGGGCAAGGGATCTACCAAGTTGCAAAGCCACAGTGGACAGGTGGAAGGATTTTTATAAAGAGCCCAAAGCCAGACTCAGCCGTGTTCTACCCTCTCCTTAGCTCCCTGTCTGGGCAGCACAGGGCTCCGAGGACCCCTGGTAAAATGATGGAAGAGGACCTAACGATCCCTAGATGAAACCTCGGCTCTGAGTTCAACCTCACACATTCATTTCTCAAGGACATTTTCCTGACAACGATATGCATGACTTCTTCCCAGAAGAGAGATAAAACCCAAATAAATCAAAAGTCTAAATATGTTATGCTTTGATTAAATGAGCAAAAGCCACATCTTAAATGTTTTGGACAGTGTTAAGGTCTTTAGAACACGTAAAAGGGAAATTAAACATAACCACCAAAATGGCACAAAAGGCTTAAAAGCGTTTAGAAGAAATCCTTTCAAGAGGAAGAAAATCAAGTTAAGATGATTTTTTTTCTTTTTTATAACACTGAGAATGGTGAGTGAACTGAGAAGGTAAAAGGTCGGTGGCTTAACAATGTGCAAGTTGAACATGAACTTCCTGTTTCTTTCAATATTTATGCAGTGGACTGATGGGCCCGGCCGGTCATCTGTTTAATCATTTCACAGGTATTTATGGAGCACCTGCTATGGTTCTGACACCAAGGAATTAAGGCTACAGGGTAAGCAGAAGCAGATGTGTCAGCCTGAGCCTTCTGTCCAAGGGCTCTGCTGAGGACTGTCTGATCCTCTCTCTCAGTTGAGAGGAAAGGAAAAGTGGCTGTGATCTCAGCAGAGGGCAAGGATCCTGCAACATCTACAAGATGCTACGGAACCCAGAGGAGAGATTCCTTCTTGCCAAGGTTAGAGACGGTTTTGTGGTTGTAGTGCTGGACTCGCAAGCCTGCATATGATTCTAGAACTTTAGAAAGGGCGTGGGCAGAGGCTGCAGGTCCTCGGGAAGAAGACATTCTCGAAGGGTGAAGCAAAACACCCCTAGATTCAGAGGACGACATTTGCCTTGGAAGAGGAAGCAGCTGTGGATGATGTGGATCTGAGGGACCCAACCTCAAAGAAGCAGTATTTTCATGGGGTCGACTGACCATCGTGCGAGGGGAAAAGATACTTTTTATCGCACAGCTGAAAGAAGTAACTATGAAAGGCAGCCAGCTGAGTTGCAAAACTGCATTTCCGAGTGGCTCCAACACTGGGTCGCAGGGACTGCTGTGCCCCTGACGGCCTGCAGGAGGCGCGGTCACAGGAGGGACCTTTGCTCTCAGAATGGAAGGATTTTTTTTTTTTTTCAATTAAGAAGCTCATGACTGTTCAAGTGTTGACTACTATTGGCTTCTCTCCTCCTGTCAGGGTTTATAGGCACAGGGCCGGACCAGATTGAAGAACACCATTCTTCATTCAATTCCTTTTCCACTTTAGAACTTCACAAACTGACCGAACCACGGCCCCTCTTCCAGAGACCCACGGGATTCTGCTTTCCACTGACCTCATCCAGCAAGGTTTTCACTCTGGCATGTCTAGGTTCTCCAGTGTTTCCTTCACACTGCCACTAAGTGACCTCCCAGGGGTCACAGAACCCTGCTGGCCACTCCAAATGGGTCACCCTGTTCAAACCCAAGAAGACTCGACAAGCTAAGGATGCTGTTTCCTTTTGCGCAGGGGCAAAGGGACTCAGCACACTGCCTCATACTGTCTGGAACTTCTCTTTCCACTCATCTGTGAGTCTGTGCAGTGGAGACTACATTTTATTTCTTGCAGTGCCTGGTATGCAGCCGAGGCTCAACAAATATCTTATTAGAATATTTATAATCATTGCAATGAATGTTTTTGCTATACTTTTCAATGAAATGTCTCCAAATGTTGTCAATTTATGAAGAACATATCTTAGGCTTCTGAGCTGCAGCTATGCTACATGTTTTCCTGTGGAAAAAATACATGCATTTATGATGAAAGTGAAGTCCGTGCAGAGATACTTCACTCCAAGTGTAGAGATACCTGGCTATTAGGCTGCTTACTCCTCATTTTGTTTAGAAAAGGGAAAAAAACCCACACCTCAGCACAAACAATACATTTGTACAATACTGACGGAAAAATACTTTGAAAACTAGGGAAAGAGTGGAGGATTCATTTAACTTTTTTTCTTAGCACCAATTCCTATACCCATTGAAATTTATACTAGTCTAAACAATGAAAATAAGAGATTTTTTAAAAAAAGGAAACAGTGCTAGGTTTAAAAATTTCCCCTGTGGAAACTGGACCCGTGGCTTTTTCTCTGAGTCAGGCCAATGTTGGTTCCAGTGCCTGGCTCACAAGAGTCACAGAATTTGACTATTTTCTCTCTATTTAAATGGTGCCTGGATTTCACAACCTTCTGCTCTCTGAGGTGCTGCCATGAACACAATTAGTTCCCAAAAAAGCGTGTCAGGCAGTCGGACTGGGGAGAAACTCATGCAGAAATACCCACATAAAATGTGGGAGCGCATTACATCCAGGTCATTTTTTTGTAAAAAAACCCCTTGCTTAGCATTTAATGTCACAAAGAGCACAACCTGGTGGCCCCACACAGAATCCAACTGGAGAAACGGATTAGCTGAAGAAATGCCTTAAAAGTTGGAACCAGTAAATCATTTCCCCTTTCTCCTTATTTCTCAGAGACCTGCTCTCAGGGCAATTTAAAGTAATCATGCAGTTAAAGCCCAGGGGATGCACTATTCCTCTATTTTCACTTTATGTTCCTTCAAAACTTAGACTCTGCTCCCCACCCCTGTTTCGGAACTCTCTGAATTTTCCCAAGTAGAAGCCATGCTGTTTTTATCCTCTCAGGAGTTTCCAGACCATTCTCTCTGCAGACATGTTAGAGTGGAGGAAGACAGGCCGGCCCGTCTGCAGGGATGAGCGCCTGCTCCAGTCACTGCCCTTCTGGGCGGCTCATTCTAACATGGCACCTGGGACTCCTGTGCTCCCTGAGAGCCTGCAGGAGTCACTGGTCCCAGGGCATTTTGGAGGCACTCGGAAGAGAAGAATTTTATGATTTTATTCTAGAAGGCTCAGAGAAAGTCCCTCACGATGCAAAATCCAACATGTAAAAAAGAGAAAAAAATAATTTAAAAAATGGAAACAGTTCTCTTAAGGCATCACCACCCTCAAGCCTTGCCTGTAAGTTTCGTTTTTGTTGTCAGTGACATTGGGGCTTTGGTTAATTTCACTGCTCCTGGAAGAAATCCATGGCCTTTGAAAGGCACAGGAGCCAGAGGGATGGACTTCGAGCAGCCACAGTAGCAAGGAAGATTGGTTGGTCTCGCAAGTTTCAGGATGGAACTGCAAAACTCGATGGCATCTGGCTTGGTTTCGTACATTGGGGTGTGTGGGAAAATGTGCTCTCCGAATGGTTTCCATCAAAGTGGAGCTGAAAGGAGGACAGCAAAGCCAGCGGGGGTCTGCAGTGCTAACCCACGTGCTCGCGCTGGTGCGCACCCACTGTTCACACCCACGCCCTGTTTTCTTGCCATCATCTACTGGCCGGGGCGCGGGGGGGGGGATGATGGGAAATATTCTGAGAAAAGCACGCTGCGTTTCTTAATAAAAAGAAATTGTATTGCCAAGGGAAACAAGTTTTACAAGTGATTTTGAATCTGGAAACTTACCCAATTCCCAGCTGATCAGGTAGCTACAATTGTAGGAAGGACACATCGCTAACGCAGTATTTGAACATTTCACCGGGCTCAGAGAAATTTAGCATCGCTGTCAGAGCAACTTGACTAGAAGCTCACCTTGCTCTTCTTTATTCGAGATAAGAGAGCCGTCTTCTTAATTTACTGGATTTTACTATTTGTATACTTTTTAACTTTCTGCTTAATGCAGTGTTCTAGTAAACTTGCTGTTGTGTCAGTTTTTTGAGGAACCAGTCAGATGTGTCATCTGATTGAATTTACAACAAAGACTTAAGATGGTTGTCCTATGCCAGTGCGAGTTCTCCCCTGGTTATGTCATATTTTTGGATAAGAGCAGACATCAGAATAGATATTTTTGACCTGAGTGTCCATATTAAAAGGAAGGACACAGTGGCAAGTATGCTATTTTTCCAAAGCTTTAAATTTTAGTAGAGATAGTAAACAGACTTTATGATTACAAATGTGTTTCTCTGGTTTTCTTTATCTAATCATTTTAGCAAATTTAAATACTTTTCTCTTAATGTTGGAATATGGAAATCTATTTTCTTGCTTCTTTACCTCACATGGTAAAAGATATTTCAGTCCTACTTTTAAATAAACAGCTGTATTAGTGATATGTGTGTAGTTATCTTTAAAATTAAAGACAAGTTGGTGTTGATTTATTACCTCCTTTTCAGAGCAGTTTTCCAGCTGGAAGGTGATACTCCAAGGTAAGGTTCAGAACAATGGAGCCTGTGTGAGTGAGGTCTGCATAATTAAAATTCTAAGTAACTGGGACACAAGTTAGCCAGATGCAAATAGTATTCCTTGTCAAAAATACACATATTTTGAAATTATTGTGTATTTAAGTGACTTGTGTTGCCTAGAGCATTGAGATTATCCTAAGAAATCTTTTATGACAAAGTATTTATTGTCAGTCTTGTAAATGGTTCTTTAAATGCCTAAAACCAATGCCTATTTGACTTACAAAATCTGCAGCAATTCTGCTAGTAAATTTCAGCATTTGGTCTTCCCACCTAGAAGCTTTTTCAGCCCCTTCCATTATATCTGACTGGTCCATCTCACATAAACAGCTTCCTCAGCAGGAAAATTCCAACAGAAACCAAGAGGTTGAGTCTACTGGAGCCATCAAGAATTCCTCTCTTTATTGTTGTTGATGTTTCTCTTTTTATAAAGGCCTTCCCCTGAATTCTTTTGTTATTATTAACATGAACCAGATTCTAGTTTCAGGCAGCAAACCAATACCCCACCCCCAATACTCAATACTCAAAAATCAATTGTTGATTTTTAGTCACCCATAAAATAAATTAGTTTTTACCCCTCAAGTGATTCAATTCAGGATAGCTTAACAAAAAAGCAAGCTTCTCTTCAGTAACAGCATAGCAGTACAATTGACAGTGAGGTGCTTTGGCATATTGGATTTCTTTTCCAGTTGGTGAGGGATCCTTTTCCTCTTTCCCTCATTTCTGAACTGCAGAAGAGGAATTATTAAAGCATTCACCCGAGACACTGCTGTCATAGGCAAGGGTGTGGACTAGGGTCCCGATCCCCTTAGATCAGAGCCTCAGGAATATCTTCTCCTGCCCTGGGGTCGCTGTGGAAACCGGACAGAAGAGAGAGACTTGGGGAATCCTACCTCTGGCTCCTTCCCCACCCCTCCCATGAAACGTTAAACCACACACTGATGTGATGATTTGAGGTGTTTCATTGTCACCATGCTACATTCTTGAGTTTGTTTTTCCTTTAAGTGATCGGTAAGGCCAGGGAGGGCCTTACTCCTGATTAATGATGATCATCCTCCACTATCTGGATACAGTAGCGTGGCATGAGTTTTTGATAAGGAAAATTAGGCTCTGAGAGACATTTCTCACCAGAAACTTTCAACATATGAAAATGCATTTAAAAGTTACTTCTGGGAAATATACTAAATAGGCCAGTCATTTAATCGCTAGCTAACTGTCAAAGCCTATAAAATCATGGTATCAAGTCACCCTGATGTAAAGCAACATAAAAATTAGTGCATCATCTATAAAATAAAGTATCATTTGCCTTCAAGTGACAAATTCTATGCCAAAAAATACCACTGTACTTCTAATAAGTGAGACTCATTTTAACAGACCCTATAAAAAATACAATATTTCAATGTCCCCATAAAACATTAACTTACAAATATTATTCTCAGAGCTCTGGTGTCATCGATATGTGATTCTATTGTAAAATCCCAATAGAATGTTTGAAACACTAGTATGTAAAATAAAGCTGTTATATATATAACCTATGTGGGAAGGTGAGAGAGAATGCATACGACCAAGTCTGGAGAGTTGTTCTGGAATTGCAAATTCATATTTAATCAAATTAAAAATATTATATAAATAAATATTTTTAAAGGATTGTAAAATGAATTTTGATCATTCATAGAAAAAAATAGTTCCAATGTCAAACTAAATAATTTCTACATTAAGTATGCTTCTCTAGTGAGAATATTAAAAATGTTATATACCTTGACACTTTTGGAGGGGAAATGTTTTATGTATTTCTCGTCACAAAAATTGGCATTGAAATTAATAATACAAATCAACCACAGCTCTGAGACATTATATTTGAAGTTTCATATTTAAATATTGAAGTGTTTAAATCACCCATCATAACTTTCTGGCAAGTCTTCCTTAAGGATAAATTCCTTAAGTTGCAAATTAAATAAAGCAGCACACAAAAAAATTCCACACTGGCAAGTAAAAAATACCAGGGGCTACAGTTTATAATCAACATAAACTTCCAAGAAATAAAACAATACCTTTCCGGCCACCCATCATTCACTGCTTGAGTTTGTGGTGAAAAAGTCGTATCTATGATGACTTTTACTCTATTTCTTAACTTGGCATGTATTATAATTAGCTACAGGCATTGAACAAATTAGTCCTATTTTATTCAGGTCCCAGAGGTAAGTGGATCATTTATGAAATATTTCACTCTGTGTTATGAGAATTTAGCAAATGAATATGGAACCAAATATAAACACTTTATACCATATGTACAGTTACTTTCATAAGGCATTATCATGTAATTTTTATTGAAAAAGATTCAATATAGTAAAGTCTTATTTTAAGATATATTTTCATTCTCAATCCGAGATGTTTAGTTTATGAAAATATTGTTTTTCTCTATATTCTTTTTGTATATATGCCAACATATACCTTGTGCTAGAAATATTTTATGGGAATTACAATTCTTTATACTTGTATTTTCTATATAAAGGCATATACAACTTTGAGGCAGTGTTTCTGATGGAGAGCAGAATTCATAAAGAGCTTGTGTGTGCTTCCGTGCTCTGAAATTATATGAAATCCACTTTGAGAAGAAACTGATTTTGATTAAAAAACGAAAACAGAAACAAAACTGCACCAATGCACAGCCAGAGGCTGACAATTAAAACTTGTACATAAGCACATGAACATTGTATTTATAGAGTTAACATTTTTAAGGATGATCAGTGCTAACATACAGTATTATACATTTGGCACTAATGTTTGCCATTGGTCCAGCAATTGGCAAAATTTGTTTCTATGTATAAATTTCTTTTTGAACATTAGGTCTGGCTAGACATATCTTCACTATTTATAAAAAATATTTAGACAGTAAGCTCACGTTGAATAACTAGGTCTACTGTGTTCTGGAAACTCTTCAGTAGTAATACAGCTTTTTCATGTTCCATATGTACAAAACTGTGTCCATTTGCCTGCAAATACATGAATAAAACAGGTCAAGCAATGCAAAATGTTTGTTATCGCTGCATCACATTCTAATCACAAGACCCAAAGAAGCATCAACCAATATGGTTGTCACTTTCAAAACTGACAATGGAATTTTAACTGTAGAAGTAACTAATTTTACCATATTTAACCCAATTTATTAGTTCAACAGTAGTTATTAAATACCCCATGTGCCTTTGCCTTAATCATAAAGCTGCACTAGTGAGTAACAGGTAGATGTACTTGTGAAATCGCTGTTCATTTTTGCTGTTGCTTTCCGATTTGTTGTGGAGCTGGCTGGCCATTGCCTTTGTGTTATATCAGCATGCCATGAACCCACCTATGTGCCATATTTTAATTATGCTAAATAACCCTGGGCACTTAAGAGTATTGCTAAATCTTATTTTGACTCTACGGAAAGTTCTTGGTTTATTCATTCTTTTATGAAATAAATATTCTTTTACTCCCCTATCTTCCATTGCTAAATGCAAGTATTTTCATTATCTATGCTGGTGGCCTTCAATCTAGTCCTGTACACGTAAGGTGTCCATCCTTCTGGGATGAAGCACACTGATAACCAGCAACAGGACACGCCTCCTGTCTCCTGGTTACCAGCCAGCAAGAGAAGCAAGCGCAATTTATTTTGAACACAATTAACCTAAGGTTACAACTTCAAGAATCCAATGGGTTATTTGATATTTGTGTCATGAAACATGGTTTTCTTTGTAGTAAGTGCTAATGGTTCTTAGCATTTCTCTACATTAAACAACAAATTACTGGAATGACTATTTAAAAAAATATGTAGAGAGGTGGTTTCCGTAAGCCTTCACTCTCATGAAGTCCAAATTAAAAAACAACGTTTTTGAAACTTTGTGTAGGAATAAATCCTGGCAACCCAATGACTGGTAGTTATGTAACTGTTTTCCCTGCAGTCTTAGACTCAACTGATTTCGAAAGGAAGTGTCAGTCGAATTGACTGGCCAAGTACAGGTGATACAGCCAGTTAACTGGTTATCTCTTTCAATCTTCAATGAACTTGCTGCTCATCTTGGGCACAAACTGCCTTTGCTATTTTACTTCATTTTTACATTTTCTTAAAATCTGATCAATACTTTCAATAACAGTTCACTTAAAAGTTAAAATGCTTCACTGCCTTTAACTTTTTCAAATCGCAAACAGCAGTGCATCCTTAGCAATGCTGTGTAGCCTTTATAACTTGGGTGAAAGGCATCTGATTTTTTTTATCATTGATAATATTTTATTATTAGTTCATTAAAGTTGATTGGCTAATGATGTGATAAAGAAGGTTCTAAAATACTGCCTTTTAAAATGTTACACAGCACATCTACCAATAGGGGAAATAATAGGAAACCAAATGTAAACCCTTGGAAATCCATATCATATGAATTACAAGTTTGCTTTGAATTAATGAAACTCAATATATGCATTTCTTAATAACATTTATTAATGATGATGTTTACTGAGGTTGGCATTTGCTGTTTCAGGGCCAGGAGATAGTAGTCGAGTAGAATTTGAAGTGTGTTCCACAGCTGCAATTTCTTGCTTTAATTTACAGTAAAAATTAGACAATAAGATTCCGTTTGATGTTATTTCTGGTTAGATGGTGACTGGGGATAGGGAACACAGCACCTGGTACATTCTTCCTTCTACTGTTTTCCTACTGTGGGCATCAGAAAAATAGAAAACTTGCGTGAAATATAAATATATTCCACTACAGTTTTGAGGGCTATACTAGTTACCTTAATGACCCCCATTTCCTCAAAGTAATACCTTAACTGTGAAATTAAAATTTAACTTTAAATAATGGAGGGTTTTTTTTTGAGATAGGGTCCTACTATGTAGCTCAAGTTAGCTTTGAACCCACCATGTAGTCCTCAAATCCATGAGCCTCCTGCCTCAGTTTCCCAAGTGCTGGGATTACAAGGGCACGCAACTACACTCACCAATAATGGGGTTCTTGAATGTCAAAATTAATAATACCTTTGTGAGTTCTCAGATTCCTGTATTTGTAGTCTCAAATCTATAGTTACTACGACCCCAAAACCCACTGAGAATTTCCAGGGGATTGTTTGAAACAAACACCTTAGAGCTTCTGGGGTGAAGACCCCGTGTGGTTCTCTTTGCCGTGAGTGGTGAGGTGTTCATCGCTAGGCTTGCTATAATATTAATGCTAGAAAAGACAGTGATGCTGGTGTGGAGGGGATGCGTGGTATAAAACTTAGCAAATTAATTATAGTTATTATTTTGGAATGATAGGAGGTGAGATTGAACAATACAGTGAGTTTCAATTTAAAGACAGATTACAGTAGAAGACAAATTGCCACTGATCTCCCTCAACACTCTCCCCCTCATTTCAGACAACTTGTCGCGTCATCCTTGCAACTTTCTAGAAGACCTCTTACGTGGGCGTCTTTGGTTGTGATGTGGCAGCTGCCTCTGTGACCCGCATCGATTCAGAATGTTGTCTTTTCAGGGTCATTTGGACTTTGGGGAAAAGCCAGAAGCCGCACAGTACCATATGTAGTAAATAAGGTGGATGAGGACGCCCCACTGTGTTTTTACACAATGCCTTTCTTCTGGACAGCACTTGGCAGCAGCATTCACTGTATTTTTTTTATCATACCTTATAAAGATACTCCAACCTGCTTCAGAAAATGGCAAGAATGATGGGGTAAGGGTGTCTGACGTGAGAAAGAGAGCATTTTTGAGGAGGGAATAATAGTAATTTGTTTTACTGTAAAAATTTTTTTAAAAAATTTAAACATTCACTGTATCTTTCTTTTGGGGGTGGGTACTGGGGGATCAAACTCAGGACCTTGCATTTTCGAGGCAGGTGCTAGAACCACTGAGCTAAATCCCTGACCCTATTCACTGTATCTTTTGATCATCTCTTGGATTTTATTGGAAGATCTTTAAAGAAAGCTTGTTCTCTTTCAATATGATTTTTCATTTTTTTTTCAATTAAAAGTGTCTGTAGGGTCCCGACAGCCCAAGGCATTGTGGTGGGCAAGGGGGCAAGAACTAAGAGACAGAAGAGGGAGGCTCGCATCAGAGAGGTGACTGACAAGGGGGGAAACAAGCCACGGGCATAACTAAAACTAACACACGAGATGCCCTACAGCCAGCACACGCTCAGCAAGTGCACGTAGCATCTGCTGAGGCGCAGTGCTAGGGTAGCTCAGGGCAAGGCAAAGAAAGGCAAGAGGCAGACTTCAAGGAGGCTGGTTCTCTGCTGTGGGCCACAAGTGTCCTGCCGTTCAGACCCAGCCAAGGACAAGTTCCACACTTGGCCCATTTCCGGTGGCTCCTGCAGCCCTCGGCATGTGAGCAGTGGGATAGTTCATGTTAATTCTGTGACGGTGCAGAGAAAATGTTTTTTGAATGGTCCTGTATGTAGACATTTTGGTAAGAATTTTTAAAAAACATGCAACCCTACTCCCAAACCAAATAAAGCCCTGGAAATTTAGACCATAGTCTTTAACATTACAAGAAATCATAGAAGTAAGCTCATGTGGAGGGGCTTTTTTAGAGGAAAGCATTTAGTTCACATAACCTTTGCTTCAAAAACAAGAGAAGTAACTGGATATGTAAAACATTTAAGAGAGTGAGAGAGGAGAAGAGAGAAGAGGAGGAGAGAGGCAGATCAGAGGGGGTTACACCCGGAGACCAGATTGCTAGCTCCAACCCTGCAACCCCCGAGTGCTCATAAACACACAGTGTGGTCTAGGCCGCTCCTGTTTTCATAAATGAAAGACCCACACCTCAGAGAGACTGAGCCACTTGTCTGTGGTCACACAGCTGGGAATGGGTCAGGGCTGAATCATCTTCTGCCATAATAGTCCTTCTTATATTTCTCTCTCTATAGTACTTCAACAGAGTAATAAGACCAGAGACACTTTGAACTGATGTTTCACAAGCCATGATAAAATGCTCAGTCCTTTCCCTTTCAACACTGTGGCAATTCTGTACTTTACAGTGGGTGCCAAGCCCTGACTCTCTTTCTGATTCCTATCAAGTTAATTTAATTAATTCCAGAAATGCTGGTGGAAATAACATTCAGTCCCAAATTAAAAGCTACAGAAATGCTGAATCTCTCGTTCTTGTTGTAGTTTCATTTCTGGCTTAATTGGGTAGTGTGGCTCCCTCTGAACTTTCTTTTTCAAAGGTAGAAAGACCACGTCAGACTATCTGTTAGGGCAATGCAGGAGACTCAAGAGGAAATAGATTAAAAAGAAGGAAACTTTTAGCATGTAGAATCTATAAATTTGGCTCCTCATTAGACCAGGTGTATAAAACAAGTAAGAATCAAATTATAATGTCAGTAATGGAAAATGCAAATCTTAAAAGAAATGGCAAACCTAGACTAGGTGACCATGGAGTGTTTGATATCAGCGACATGCACAAAAGGGTCCTGTATTTGGAAAGGAGAGAGCGGAGTTCAGGAAGCACGTTGGAGCTGAAGCATTAGCAATAGAGATGGAGTGCTGAGGGGTTTATGAGAAAATAAGTTTAAAAGTGAGCCTGTGTCAGAAGGGAAATCCAACTAGGAAAGCAGGATGGAGTTGGAGCTTTGGAAGTGTAGAGCAGAGATGGAAGCCAGGGTTAGCTGTCAAACTGGACTTCTAGGAAAATCTTCCAGAAGTGCAGTAGGAAATGGTGACATGGGACCCCCCACCCCCCTCAGTGCTTCCTGCCAGGGGTGGCTGACAGCTGGCTCTACCTGACGGCCAAACTCAAAGGCAAAGCTTTCCATGGGCACCCGTGTGCCGAGGGGAGGGAACAGGGAAGGCTGGGTTCCTAGGAGACAGATGGGGGGAGACCCGGGAAGGGCCACCTGGAAGAGAGACCCAGGTAGAATGTCCATAAAGTAACAGGAAATCTAGGAGACACAAATATTTGTCTAGTGGCACCAACTAACACGGTTTGTCTGCAGCACAAAAGAAGCAGAGAGAAAAATAGATAGCTG